CTGCTTCATATAAAATGGGTTTCTTGCCTATGCTTAGACATGCTCACACCTTTGCTACTGTTATTCTAGCCAACATAATCCACAGCTACATGAATTATCGTGGAGAAGCATGGATTCCTTCGTGCCACGCATCTTCCGCCATTCCAGTCACACAAGGATTTCAGTAGAACAGCCAATGTAATATACAGACTCAAAAGTTTTTGAGGCAGAAAACTTAGATATTTAAACAGTGACATAGGAGTGCAAAAACATGCCTATTTAATACCTGAATTCTGACTAAAAGTGGCATTTTAGTCACTATAAGTGGAACATCTGAGTGATGGAGTGCATCTGGTCGTCAAACATAGGCTGAATTTGACTCACGACCCTCCAATTGCTTACCATTGGTTTGCTAGCTTTTATACAAACAAAGGATTTGCCCAATGTCCTTTTAGGGTCGGGGAGCCCAAAGGTTTCATGGTTCCCTCCAAATATGTTGGGCTTCAGCTCCCATGGTCTCTGGAATTGGCCATCCACACAGCTGATGAAAATTATAGACTTCAGCACCTGGACAGCACCATATTGGCTATGGCTTTTTGGGGGTCTCATTCTAAGTCACCTCTGGCTATATTTATGAAAGAAGAGCTGAGCATCCTTGCCAAGCTATTTCTCTGAAACACACAGGTGCAGAGAGGCATGCAGAGAGAATAGTGAAAAACATTAACTGCATTTTATTTATTTATTTCATCAACAGTTCACATCCTGTTATCTCATCCGAGCCTCTCTGCCAGAATCTCTGGCAGCTGGCATCCCCAAGCCCGAAGACCTCACACATCCATTCACATGCACAATAAATAGGATGCATAGCCCCCCCACCCCCACCCAGTATCTTTTCTAATATGCAACAATCTCAGGATATGGGAGCTAATGTGGATTGATGAAAAACAGTCTACCCTGGGGATGGCATAATAAATATCCACACCTATAGATAGCTGCATATGCAAAAGACAAATCTGGATGCCAGTTGCTGTTTACATAGAGGAATGTATTGTGTGTCTGAAACTTGCTACACATTTACTTTTTTTAATTTTTATGATATGCTGATTCACAACAAAAATAAAAATTCTCCAGTGTAGTTAAACATAGCACAGGGAGAACCAATCTGGTGTCCCACAGATCCTGTTAGGCTGAAACTTCCATCATCACCATGGGCTAGTGGGCATTATAGTCCCACAATCTGAAAGGTACCACATTGGCTTTTCCTAGCTGATTATGACAACTTGGTAGTGGTTGTTTTTAAAACCCTCTAGACCAGGGTGGTCCAACTTTTCATACCAAATGGGCCACTTTGACATAAAACCCACAGGCCACACACTGCCTTGTTGCGTTGTGGGTGGAGGGAAGCAAGGCCAAATTTTGATGTTGTTCTACCAGCCCTTATGCTGCCTTTCCAAATCTGGCTAGGTGTGGAGCAGGCTTGGGAAGGAGGCATGAGGATCTGGCAGGGTCCTAGAGTCCTCCTTCCTTCGTCCCATAGCTGAGAAAGCACTAATTAGGCTTTGGGATGGAGGAGACAGGACTCTAGGACCCTGTCAGAGCCCTCACACCTCCTTCTCAAAGCCCAGCGCCTCCTTACCCAGGTAAGGGGGGGCTGAAGGGGGGAGGGGTAAAGTGTTGCCAAAGATCACCAAAAAAAGCCTTGAGAGCTGTGCGTTGGACCACCCTGTTGGACTAGACTGTCCTACTTAAATGATATTCCATTGAGAATGGGGTTTCTTACATGCTTAAACTCTTGAAAAATACTCTCATTGGTTCTAAAAACAAATCAAGTCTAATCAATGAGATTTCTCATAATCCAAACAATGCCTCATATGCCTAGAGCTTTTGAGAGAGAAAAACAGTTTGCTTTTTTTATTAAAAACAAAACAAAAAACACCCACCCATCTCTTGATTGCTTTTTAGGACACTTAATTAAAGCAATTTTTAGTCTTGTTTAATCGTGACTCGATAATGAACAACAGCATTTCTGTCTATGCAGAATATATAAGATAACTCTCAGTGGAAAATAAATTCTTCTTTCCTTCCAGCAGAGATCATTTTCTCCCTGACTAAATTTGGGGGAAGTAAAAAAAAAAGTAAATCAAACCAAGTTCCACCTCAATACTATCCTCATCAGACTCTCTAAAAATACATAGTGACTACATTTTCAAATGATCTTTTGTATTTTTTGCTGTGGGATATATATTACAAGGGTAATTTTCTGGAATACTTGTTCTTTTTCTGTTATACTATCACATTTGGGACCTCCAGCTGTAAAGTAGCAATCAGGCTGGGTTCCCAGTTTGGGTAGAAATACCTGACCTCTTGTAACCTATAGCACTTTACAATCTTCAATTTAAATTACAGAAAAACTGACATGAACTTACCCGGCACTTCATAACAGTTCTTGTTAACAGCTTCATCCTTTCCCCTCATTGTATCCTGCTCAATGGCTCTGGTTGCTACTATTCTACTCTGGACAGCTCTATCTTTTCCTCTGCTGAGATTACATTCTTCAGAGCAACTTAGTTCTGACCATTTGAAAGGGTCTGATTTCTTCAGGTGAGCATGCTTTATTCTGTATCCTGGTTTTTACAGTGGTAAACATGATCATGACCAGTGCTCTCCCCCCCCCCCCCGAAAAATAGGTGCCGGAACTCACCATGAAGTTGTTACAGTAAGTGCCACACTTTTTAACAACAACAAAAGAGAGATGCCGGTACTGTGTATCCTTGAGTACCTCCTGGGGGGGGAAGCACTGATCATGACCATCCAAATACAGTGCTACCTCAGGTTAAGAACTTAATTCGTTCCGTAGGTCTGTTCTTAACCTGAGGTACCACTTTAGCTAATGGGGCCTCCCGCTGCTGCCGCGCCACCACGGCACAATTTCTATTCTTATCCTGAAGCAAAGTTCTTAACCCGAGGTACTATTTCTGGGTTAGCGGAGTCTGTAACCTGAAGCGTCTGTAACCCGAGGTACCACTGTATTAAGAGCAGGGCCTTTGATCTATCCCCACATGGTGAGGAGCCATCTTCTCTCCTTTCCATTCCTAGTCCACCCGTGTTATGTATAGAATGGATTTATTTGGAGACCACCTCCTACTAGGTGTGGAATAAGGGAACTTAGGGGGCTCCAGCTGGCCCCGTTACATGGCACAGCCAGACAGAGGCTGGGGGTTAGCGAGACACTTTCTGATGGACCACTTTCTTCTTCTTTGGTCGATCTCACAATTGGCTTTCTGGCACTACCTTTTTTTCATCTACTCCACACTGCTTGATTTGGCTGAGATGTATGTGTGATTGGCCAGGATGTGGAGTAATTGTTTTTTGCTTTTTTTTAAAGAAAGGTTTGGGCACACTTGGACAGATGGTGTGGTCAGGGAAGGAGAGTTGTATATGCTCTGGTGAGCATCCCCTGGGTAAAGTGATGCCTTCCCATTGTACCTTTTTCTCCCAGCTGGCTTGAGAGGGAAAGGGAGGGGAGCATGACTTGAGCCTGGTAGGCTTCTTTCCTGTGAATGCTGGAGAGTGGGAATGAGATGGAGCAGCCAGTAGGCACTCAATGTGCAATTAAATTGGGCCATCAATGAAAGGCATACATCATTTAACCTTACCTGATGGTTAACTGGAACCAGTTTGTGGTTAACGTGGAACCAGTGTGGTGTCACCCAAGGGAGAAAGCATGGGGCTTCCTCAGTGTTTCACCCTGTTAATTATGACCACAGATAAATACGGTAGATTATTGTCCAGCCCACTGCAGATCCTTGACTCAGTAGTAATAAATGTGACCTTCTGATCTCAACTGTTGCCTGAACTCCCTAGCCACCCAATCATCAAATGTTTCTACACCCAAATGGATGTCTGTTGATAACTCTTATCTTTACTTTTGAAAAAGATATGACTACTGTCCTACATCCACATCCAGTGTGGTATTCAAAGTGGAGGCTGGCTTACGAAAATATTACTGATTTCTAAAAATAAATAAATAACTGTAATACACACCAGCAGAAAAAGCTAAAGTAGAAAGCTATTTAGTCACTGGCTGGTATAAGGGAGTAGGAGAGTGATAGCTCTTGCCTTAATAGGAAAACTGTATTTTTGTGTTTCTGAACATCTTCAGTGAAACACATTAGTCATTTCACTATTTTATAAGGATATTTTTATGATTTTATTAACTTCATTTTCCCCCAGCACCATTTTGGAATTTGCCTCTTTTCCCCTTCTACTTCTACACTTCTTTTCCCTTCTTTTATTTCTACTACTATTCGCTTGGTCCAAGGTGAACAGCCATGTTTCTTTCAACTCTTCTCTTACCATCTTGTTGCTGTCAGGATGAATATTGATGCACAGGCTTCTATCCCTGACTGAGAAGCTGCTTTGATGGGAGGCTTTGGGAAGATGCGGTTAGCACTTTTGGATATGTAGTCACCATAGCAAGTAAGGATGATAGCATTGATGTGGAAATTGGTGTCATTTACTTTTTTTAAAAAAGGGAAAAAAGCATAGTCAAGAAGAAAATTATCTCTACTGGAAGGAGGTGTAAGTTATCTTCTCTTCTCCACAGGGATATGTATTTGGGCAATTTCCTTTCCCACCTGAAAACTGCAGTAAGGGGATTGGGCAAACTAAAACTCTCCATTTATTTTAGCCAATAGAATGCCACAGGAGAGTGGAGGCTAACAAGTGGTCATCTCTGAACTGGATTCATTCAGATTATGCTTTACAAATCTTGGTCCTCCATGACTCCCACTTATTGTGGACTTCTGTAAAGATCTCAGATTCTGTCCAGTTGTGTAGCAATGGCCAACCAGTTTCCATTGTATATAGTTGCTCACTCTCAGTTGAGCAAGAAGAGGTAACATTCTTTTTTCTTTTCTTTCTGTTGTGGAACATGCAGTTGAGATGAGCTGCTTTTTAGAACCTTCTTGTACATTGTGGGTAGAACAATAGATAATAATGTCTTCCAACATAATTTTCTCTTATTTTATGCAGGATGCTAGTGAAGAAAAAAGAGGTGGAAGAGAAGACAAAAGAGGCAGAGAAGAAGGGGTTACTACTGAATTCTAATTCTACTATGGACTTAGCCAGGGGTCAGCAAACTTTTTCAGCAGGGGGCTGGTCCACTGTCCCACAGACCTTGTGGGGGGCCGGACTATATTTTGAAGGGGGGAAAATGAGCAAATTCCTATGCCCCACAAATAACCCAGAGATGCATTTTAAAGAAAAGGACACATTCTACTCATGTAAAAACACGCTGATTCCTGGACCGTCAGCGGGTTGGATTTAGAAGGCGATTGGACTGGATCCAGCCCCCGGGCCTTAGTTTGCTTACTCATGGACTTAGCAGTATAAGGTTTTTTTCCTTGCCAGCCAGCACAATACATGGCAGGTCTCCAATACATTTCTTTCTTGGGGGTGGGGGGGTGGGGGTTGCAAGAAGACATAACAGTTTGTCCTGTTTGTACTGAATGTTGCTTCCAATCTTTCTGCATCTAGTTAATCATGGCCTTTATTTACACGAAACCTAGAAGTGTACAGTAATCAGCTGAGCAGCTTTTGCATTTTTGCAGATCAAAACATATCTCTGTTTCACTTTCTTTTAATAAAATTTTATGACTTTTAAATGCATAAAAAGTACCATATTGTGCAAACTGTAATCAAAACGCTGAAGTAGCCCCAGCAGTATTACCATCTGTGACACTTAGCCATTTCCACAATACATCTTAATTGAAATGTACAAAATCTGTTAGTAAAGTTTTAAAGATGCACATGCAAGTATTTAAAATGCAGCCTTTAGCCTACCCCTTGCTCATATAATTTTAAATAATGCAGTCATGATTATGCAATATGAGAGAGAACGAGAGAAAGAAAGAGAAAGAGATAATGTTTCCCTTGCAGCTGAAAATCACATCCTGGGGTCAAGTTCCATGTAGGATAGATAATATAGCTGTGCACCAGTTATGCGTCTTGCCTAAACTGCAGTGTGTGCAAATTATGTACAGACATATTATGGTTATGAAAAAGTTGAGGACCCTCCCCAACAGAATCAACACACTGATGTTCTTCAGAGGAAATTTTTAAAATGTCCAGGGTGTATGCTTATTAATGTGGAATGGTGGCACCTGAAAAGCCTTTTCCTGTGGTTAGAAACTCTTCCTACCTTCAATCTCAAAAGTCCTCCTTTGGTTGTGGTTCCTTAACCCTGTCAAAGCAGCAGATGTTGCCTGGACAAAAAAAAAACAAAAACAAAACCCCACACAACTGCAATCCCAATATTAGCAATGAGGAAAGGAAGATGGTTCAATCATCATATCCTAAGCTCTGCTGGCATCATATTTGAAGCACATTACTGAGGTTAGAGGACCATTCTTGCAGTTTTCCATCCATTTTTAATAAAATACTTTTCCTCCCAATTGAGAGCAATGCAAGGGTAACCAGAGAAAGCTTGGGTCTAAACCTTTGCTTGGTTTGAAGCTTGTCAGCTGACAGAGATGGCTTTGGAGCCTTTGGATCAAAGTTGTTTCCTGATCTTTCACTGGTATGACCCAAATGACCCTGACACCCCCTCTCCTTTTGCCCTTACCAACATCAGAGCTCCAATATCAACTGGGCCACAGCATTGAAAGTTCCCATTGCGGCAAGGAGGAGGAATCCAACACTGTATCTCCTTGTCTCGCACTCTTCCTCTCTGATAACAATGCTCTCACTTTCTTACTCTCTATGTATGTATATCATTGGAAAAAGAAGAACCAATATATATTATAGTCCCTGAGATGCCCTCTGAAGGGCCATAGGATTGCCACCACAGATTATAAAAGCAGTGTAGGCCTCTGTGTATGAGGATGCTTGTTTTGTATTCTGAGTCATATTAGAGCTTCTGAGGAAAATAACATTTGATTTGTATTGCATATCCAGGAATCATCAGCTAGGAAAATATGCATTCCAAACCAGGTAAATGAAAATTCTTGCAACATCACTAGAAATGAGAGCAAAGTGCCGAGAAAGTGAGAGAAAACCATCTGCATCTTTTTGCATGTCTCCATTTGTAAGATATATTCTCAGATTACTGATGGGAAGAAACGTGCATAGATATTTGTGTATTTAGGGTCTTAGCTTACTAAATGGAAAAGGACAAAATCAATACTCAAGAAATTGCATTTTCCAGCTTCAAATTGCTGCAAACAATGAAGAGAAAATAAATGTGTAACAACGGTCAAAATAAAAAGCAATTGATGATGCCTTCTTGAGATGCATGTTGCAGAACATTGATGATTTATAAAACAATGATGTGACTGAGGCAGGAGGGTGAATAGTAGTTAGAGGTTAATTCTCAAGAACAGCAGGAAGATAGAAGCTTTTTTCACATAATTTTAATCCTATGCAAAAATATATTGAGATGAGCAAAATAGTTCCTGCACACCTGCAACTTACGCTTATATATTATGCCCACATCCCACTTATTAATACATGAGACTGTGAAAAGGTTGAAAAATAGGTCACAGCTTTTGCAATGTGTCTATCTGATATGCAACATTATGGGGAACCTTATGTTGTTGGACTCCAACTCCCATCAGCATGGTCCATGGTCAGGGATGATGGGAACTATAGTTCAAAAACATATTGGGGCCTCAAGTTCCCCATCCCAGGACTGGTTATAGTCATCCCTCCCAAACTCAGTAGGTATGTGCTTGGTACCACACTGAGGACCAGTCTTCTTGCATGGGCAACATAACCCTGACTCCCTGATGTTGCTGTTTGCTTTTCACTGCCCACATGCCTGAATGATGTACAGAGGAGGCCCTCTCATTATTGTCATATTGAGGCTTATCAGCTTAAGCCTGACAATGCTGACATGTTGCATTGCCAAAGCCCTGCCAGATCCTCACCCCCTCACCAAACCTCCTCACCCACCTTTTACACCTCACCAAATCCACCCCCTTCCCTTGACATTGTCACCCAAACTACACACTTCCCCCTTACAGCTCACCTAAATTGCATCCAGGTTAGTTGCAGAGGAACAACTGGGACAGGGAAGGACAGCTCTCCAGCAGCAGTCCTGCTCTTCTGGTTCTTCCCTTCTCCTGACACTGCTGAGGCTGAAATGGAAGCATCAGTGTGCTGTGGCAATGGCAGCAGAGCAGGGATGATGAGAGTTGGGCTTCAACAACATCAGGAGAGTCACCATCTCTCCATCTCTGATGTATTCATTGTATGTGTTCGGAAGAATGAAAATTCCCCCCACTCTCTCCCCAGAAGCAGTAATGAGTTAATAGTTATGAAGACTGTGATGGGTAAAATATTTTTATGTTTAAGAACAGTTATGATTTTCAGAAAAAAGCATAGGAGTTGATGAGAACTGTTTCCACAATCTAGCCAAAACTATGCAATAAAGTCCCTTCACTTTCAGCGGAAGATTTAAGCATATGCCTGCATATGCCTCATTAAGGTTAATTAGAGTTAAAATGTTATCTTTTACTGGATCTTGCCCTGTATTCCCTCCCCACACCTGCCCTATTCAATCTAGTTTGCCTTTTGCAATTTTCAATATGTACTATTGTTCCATGTCCTTGAAACAAATAAGTCACATTTATGATGCTGTTGAACATCTATAAGTTCTGACTTACAGTATAGTAAGCATAAAAGTAATTTGATGTGTTTGTTTTACAAATGACATGCATTTTCATAATGACAAAAGGTTGCATTTGTTTTACAAATCCATCTAGTCTGCCATCTGCAGTTGCTACATGTTCAGGCTGTAATAACTGATATCACCTGATATTTAACAGAAATATTTAGACACTGATCAGCAAACAAATATATATGAGAACAGAAGGGAAAGATCATTGAAGACACAAAGATCTTGCTGAAATTTGGGAAACCGCTTTTGTTTGAACTCCTAGGTCTTTGATTTCTTTTCTTCCTGGCTTCTTATACGCAACATTGTTCAGTTTCATCCTGAGATGATAAGGAAGGCCTGCTGATGGCAATTTTGCAGTTGAATTTTAGCAGGAGAAACAAAAGTATACCTTGCCGAATAATATGCTAACTAAAAACCTGTGATTCAACACAGCCTAATCTCCTGTGCCACTAGACTGAGGCTGTGGCTCATAGGATTTTGCATACTGTGGCCTAAATGTATGGCAACCTCACTAGCTATGGGATGGCACATGAGGGACGATCCTATGCAGCTGGCATATGCCTTGCTCTAAACCCCACTGCTAGGACCACTCAGTTTTGTTTCAGCCTGAGCCACAAACAATTGTTTTCACTTGGTAAGTCAATAGAGCTCAGGAGTTGACCTGAGAGGCTATTGAGTCTGGTAAATGGAAAGAATAAGTGGGTAGTGGAGCTACATCCTGGTTTCAGTTGCATTGGCCTGAGCTTCTAAGAAAAAGGGAAACAGATGTGGAGGTTTTTAGCTGTTCTCATGTTATCTGTAAGCCTCTTTGAGTCCCTGTCAAGTGAAAGGTGAGATATAAATAAAATAAAATAAAATATAAATATGCCTGAATAGTTAGGAGATTGAAGTTAGCACTCTGAAACAAAAACTCATTCTTTCTGTCACCAGTTACCTGCAGCTTATCAAGAGAAGTAGTTTTTTTGTGGAAAATCAACCAGCATCTACAAAATTTTAATTTCTCCTTTGTATTTCAATAACACTGTAAAGTAAATACTGCAAACAGAATGTGTTGTTTTCTTCCAGTGAATATTAGTATCCAGGAGCACTGGAATGTTAATGATTACATGGAAGATTTATTTCTCTCAAGAGCTCTCTTTGGCTTTTGTTTACACCCCATCCTCCTCCCATATCTCCACCTCCCCACACCTTCCACTGAGATCCCTTTTTGCATCTCTTGGTCTTATGTGGATATCAATAGGTGTCTGAACAGCAGAGGGATATACTGGCAGCCAAATTGTCTGGGCAGGCACAAGTTCCTTTGTAGATAGGACAAATAATTTATAGTTACAATATCATTTATGGATCGGTTTAAACAGGTCATTAATAATACAGGTGTGTTATCACATTAAGTCAAACCCAAACCAAAACATCTTTACTCAGAAAAGGTTCCCATGAGTGCAATGCAATATGAGTGATGTCTTTCACTGGCTCACAATAATAAATGGCCAAACTATGCATGTGTTTTAGAAACCACAAATTGGCAAGTCTGACAAAAAAAAGTCGATTGACCTGTTGCTAAACACTTTAGTTCTGAGACCCACAAGCCATCAGACTTATCAGAGGATAGCAGTAACATTGAGTAGCTTTGGCAAATGAAGAACTTTTGAGCATCCAAACCTCAAAGCTCTGTAACTGCCACCTTGGAAACAACATAATTTCATCTTTATTAGAGCAACTGATAAGTTAGTGTTCAACTGAATCCTTGAAAGGGGCTAAGAGAAAGCCTGTGTGAACTGTTGTATGATCCTTTTATATCTGTCTACTAACACACACACACACACACACACACACACACACACACACCTTACAATCAAAACCCCAAAGAAGCCCATATGTCTCTTGGCAGGCTTGTGAAGACAATTGATAAACAACACTGACACACAGCACATATAAAATAAATCTTAAAACATACTGCTTGCAATTACCAACACTTCCGTTACAAGATTTGCATAGTGCGGTGTAAAAGAAATTGTACAGCAAGCCCTTTGCTCTTTCAGTGGGAAATTTCAGCTCTGTTGTCTTATAGTTGTTACATTTACAAATGAGATACAACCTCTGCGTCTCCAATGGTAGATATTATTTGTCATGCTGTGAGAAATAGTTTTGGGTTGTTGTCACCTAGTGTGGTGACAAATAGGTTCCTAAAATCTTTCTGAGACTGCTGCATTAGAGAGAAGTCACAATGAAATTTCTACAGACAAGAAAAATCCATATGTTTGTCCTAGTTAGAGGCACCAGATATGTACAATTTCAAACAAAATAATTGCAAGGTTCAGTCCTCTACAAGAGCCCTCTACAAGATCCGGGGGGGGGGGGGGAATCTACACAACTCTCTTTATGATGCTCCCTTAACTTACGGTAATTTTAACTAAATTTCTTATATAAAGTCATATTTGTTTTCTCTTCCCCTCTCTCTCTCTATGTGTACCCATATACAAACATATATACATGCATAATTTTATCTGCATGACACATTTTCATAGTTCAAACCATGCTCAGGGCAGCTTACAACATGAAATAATGCATAATTGCAACTTACCAAAAGTAGTCATAAACACTAAATAAAACATCAAAAATTACACAACCAAACAGAACCATTTCCACATAGATCATAATAAGATCCAAAATAATAATAAAAAAATATTAATAACAACAGCCCCGCCCCCTGACAAAACCCCCTATACAATACTCAAGCCCAAGAGACTGTTCAGCAGCCTCAGCTTTTGTAGCTGAAGTCAGTCAGGGTCTTGCCCTCTCAGGCTGGGTGAAATAAGGCCTGCAGAGCAGGGAGCAGGTCTTCCAGGACTCCCAGACAATATTATTAGAGACCTAGCTTCTTTATTAGTGTTTATTTTATTGCAAGTATAGAACGGCAGGCATTACAAACAATAAAATGAAGAGAGAAACAAACAAAGACAGGGTTTGTGAAGTTCTGTGGCGAGCACACCAACTGGGAAAGAGTGGGGAATTACATCACAGTAACAAAATTTTCTTTCTGACTGCTGTAACTGTTCAATTCTGGTCAGGGTTGTTTCATAACCGCACAGTTAATTTTTTGGAGTGATAGTCGGTCTGTGGTACCAGAGAGCAATACCCAGACTTCCCTGGACTTTCCATGTGATGTGACTTGCTCATGCTTCCATAATGCAGTTCCAGAAGGAATATATTTCATTTGTGGCTCTAAATGAGTCATGACTATGAAATGGTATTGCTGATGCCTTGGCCTTGCTTTCAGATGCAGAGATTTCGAGACTTGGCTTCTAGGTGAGTACCAGAGCCCGACAGGATGCTAGCTATGCTGGGGAATAGAAGTTCAGCAGACCATCAGGGCAGCCTTGACTTCCAATGTCAGAGCTGCTTACTCAAGGTAAGAGAATTCACAGAGAGTTCAGCAATTTCAAAGAAGAGGCTGCCTATCTGGAAATGATGCGGATTGAACCTGAGACCTTGTAGTATGGCTCATTAAATACCCCATTCATATGAATACTTTTACCCCAAGTAATCTGGGAGCAATTCAACAATGAGAGGGTTGTTTTTTTTTAAAAAAAATGTCTTTTTGCCAGGGTATTGCACATGTGTGTTTGTTTGGATTTATAGTTACTGTTGTGGTACTTAAAGCGCAAACACTGAGAACCTAGTGAATGGCCTCCTAGAGTTGTTTGGGTCAAGTAATAAATATAAGGCCAAGGGTAGACAACTATTCCTGTAATTTATGCAGAAACTGGATCAATTAAAACAAATTGCCATCTCATTAAGGTCTCAACATTGCCACTTCTCAAAAATAGTGTATTATTATACCCACAGTTTGACTTTTATGCTTGATTTATGCAATATCTTTAGGTATGAAATTAAGAGGTAAAATAATATTGAAAATGAATTTGGCACACAGAACAGATATTACAAGTGAACAAGTGAACAAGCTGGGAAAATATTTTTGTCATTATCTGTCATTTTATCAACAACAATCTCCTTTGTTGTTCTGGAGAGATTAATTACTACGTTTCTTTTTGAAATCCATAGTGGTAGAGTTGAAATTGACATGTGAAATAATCTGCTGAAACACAAATTTCAAGGACTGCTTTCTGGTTTTCTGTTCTGCAGATACATTTACAAACACAAATTTCACTTCATGTCTCAAACAAAGTGAATTAAAGTTCTGGTTTTCTTTTGTAAACTTTTGCTGCATAGAAGTGGCACTGAATTCTGCCTGAAGTGAAGTTCAAGGGAAATCAGAATACTTCCTACCTAGGCAAAATTTCTGAGGATTTGTAATGGAAGCTAATACAGCTTTGATAGGTCTAGCAAAATTTTCCACGTGTCTGTCTTATTGCTATATTATCACTATATTGTTGCCTACTTCTTTCTTTACAAAAAAAAATTATTTGCATTTTTATTACAAAAAACACACACACACATCCCCTTCCCTCCACCCACCAATTATACAACTTTCATACCAATCACAACATACAACTAATACCTAGTGACTCCCCTTCCACCCTTTTCCTGGTTTCTTTACTTTTCTACTAATTCGTATATTCCAAATTTTTAATCTTCAGATGTCTTCCTATTTCTATTTCTTCAAATTTCTATTAGCTCCTATTCTGCTGGATTTGCTCAAGACACGCTAGGTTCATTACTTGTTTACACTGGTTCTTAACATATTCAATAAACTTTTTCCAATCGTCCCTATATTCTTTATCAACCTTTTTTCTTACACTATTTGTTTTACCTGACAATTCAGCATATTCAAGCATTTTAAACTGCCACTCTTCCTTAGTGGGTACCATACTTGTTCTCCACCAATAAGATTCGATTCACAGTGGTGGCATATAATAATAAATTCTTTTGTTGTCACCATTCCCAAGAGTAATGTTTCAGGTTTTGGGGAAAAGTCTTTGGGGTTTTTTTAAAATATATTTTTAAATTCATTGTAAATTACTTCCCAGAATTCCCTGATTACCTTACAGGACCACCACATGTGGAAAAAAGATCCCTCTACTTCATTGGATTTTCAACATTTCTCTTTTTCTTTTTTCGCTAGTTTGGGAGGTGTTAAATACCATCTGTGGGTAATTTTCATCATATTTTCTTTTAATGCGTAACATCACCTAAAGCAAATTTTGAAGTGAATTTTTTGGGGGGCGGGAGCCCAAAAAAGAACATGGAAAGAAAACAAAGGGTGACTGTGGGAAATAATTTCTACCTCTTTTAGGAAAATAATAAAGCAATAGTATTGTTGTTATAATTATATCATCATTGTACACAAACAATGTACCGGTATACTCAAACAAATAATTATAGCTCAGTTTTAAACTGTTAAATATCATCATGAAAATATCTCCCATTTTTTCCCTTGCATTCCATACACATGGGAAGTATATATATTTATACCAGTTAGGATGTGGCTGTTCCCAGATGGCATTCCCCAAACTGCAATTCATATATTTTAATTGACATGCCCCAAATTACTATATGAAGAAGAGCTGTAGCGCAGTGGTAGAGTCCCAGGTTCAGTGCCTGGCATTCTCCTGCATGAAACCCGGATCAGAAGGCAAACTAGTCAGCCCAGGGCAAACAGTTCACTGGGTCCACACCTATTTCATCCATCATGCACACTGCCTCCTGCTTCTGAGGACCATACCTTATAACACCAGAATGACAGAATAAGTGTGCAGAAAGAAATGGTAGTCTGGGAATGCTACTAGTTGAAGGGATAAAGAAAATGTGATTAGCATTACTCATGGCAAACAAAGCTATTCTAAGTGTAGGCTGAATGGCCTGGCAGGCTGCAGTTTATCTTGGCCCTGGGTACGGGGCCAAGTGCCACCACTGGGCAGTTGATCCTGTGCCCAGAGGAATGCCCACGAGGCCCTGCCGCCATTGGCCAATTTTAGCATCCGGCCTACCATTCGCTGGTTCACAAGAGCGGCCTTGGGGTCGGCCCACAAAGGCACTTGCCCTAGAAGAGCAAAGGGACATATGGCTAAGATGGAGCCGGGAAGTTAACATGAGCACATGGTAACACTTGTATTGGCTTGAGAAGGAACAGGAAGTAAAGTCTTAAAGGATGTAATTTACCAACAAATAGTTACTAGAATAAAAGAAATCACTGAGCAGGAAGAACAGATTGCTTTTCTGTTTATCATCCCCCAAATGTTGCAAATGTTGTTGCTTCACTCCGAACAGTACCAGCCTAAGTTGGTATTGGGTGACCTCTGCCACAGAGGCTACTTGGGTTTCCAATGACAGAGATGGAGCAAAGAGCATCCACTAATGCACCAGCTCCTTCAGTACAACCCACTGCCCAGGCACATTCCTGTATTCTCCAAGAAGATATTCATTTCTGCATATCCACTATTATTCATGGAATGTGGAAGTAGCCTTGACTTAACCTTTGTTTTTCAGCTTCTCCATTGGATAAACTTAAGTAATAAACACACAAATCCAAGCCTCTAATAAACATCCACACAAACCTTTGGGGTGTTGGATTTAGTTCCATTCATTTGGACTGATAACAATTATGGATTAACTTCTTTATTTATTTGGCTCTGCTCCTAAACACACACATTGTTAGTGCTATCATTCTGAGACTTACTCATGGATAAGCATGTTTAGCAGAAGGGATTGCGTTTTTAACAACAATTTTCCCTTGGTGCTTCTCTGGTGAATGTTTGTGTGTTGGTTCCCCCCACTCCCTTTTTTTTACCACTTGGTTTTTGCAAACATGAAGATGTATTGGGGCCATCAGAAACTGAACAGCTCTACATTATTAGATTCAACACTATAGGGAAGGAAAAGTCCAAATAATGATTTTAGATACCTGACTATATTTATGAAGGTGCCGTGCTAGTCAGAAACTGTTCGCCATAACTAGAAGGATTGTGTTGGCTGAGCCTTTAAAATGTGGTTCATGATATACTGCCAGCACACTCTTCTGTCAAAGAGCTATTTCATTAGTTTATGGATCCCCTTAAATGTTGTGTTGTTTGCAAACTCAACAACAACAGTGCATCTTTTGTTCCAAATTTAGTTTGGTTTCAATAATTTCTCTAGCCAGTCAATACAAATAACTTCCTTGACAGAGCTTATAGACTTTTCATAAGCACTGCATTCTCAAGCTTTATCTGTTTGCCTTTCATAAGATTACTTAGGTTAGCATATTTGCTTGAGAAAAATAAACTGAAGGAGACACTATGATAAAACTCTTCCTCAGAAAAGAAGAAGAAGGGGAAAGACGATATAAAAAAGCACTTTGTCAGCTTGTCTCTCAAATCCATATCTCTGTGTGGAGGGGGATTAATATTTGTATTTTTAGGGGAAAGGTATTATAGGATGGCCTTTGGGTAGTAGGACAGCAGAGGTGCCAGATGGATAGGCGGGGGGAAACCATTGCTGTGAAATACAACTAGGGCATTGTGTTGTGACACTGGTGGATTCAAAACTGTGAACTCACAGACCTGTTTTCTGGCAAAATTCACTGAGAATAAAATTCCAAAACCAGGGCACCACTGCATGGAAGGCCCTGTTTCTTGTTTCCATCCTCTCGTGTCTAATGGTGCTTGAAACATGAAAAGAGCCTCTCAGACAATTTTTAATGTACAAGTAGTTTAATGTTAAGAAGAGGTGATTCTAGCACTTGGGTCATAAGTCATTTAGGACTTTATAGGTCAATACCAACCTTTTGAATTGTGCTTTGAAATAGGACCAGAACATGATTGCACCTGAGGTGAAGTGGGCCAGTTGCCACTGCTCCCCGAGTGCCAACTTCCTCCAACACCACCTCTTATTTCCTCTCCACCTTCCTCTTTTTCTTTCTTTCTTTTTTGCTGCACATCAGGGTTGGCAGCGCAGGCCCCTCTAAGGCTCTCTGGGGACAAGTTGCCCACGTTTTACTCTGAGGAATGCCTTCCTTGGTGGAGGCATTGTGGGCGAGGTGGCACAGAGAGAGACCACCCCTCTTTGCAGAGGCAATTGCTATTTACAGTTTCATACTGGTAATGTGCAAAACTTTACATAAGTATTCTTCACCTCTCCACCATTACTAGAATGAAATGTTGGCCGCATTGCCACAGTGCCTTTACCCACGGAAGTGTTTTTCTTCAGATCACAGCTACCTGGCTCTCCAGGCACCTGCATAGATATGCTGTTGGCAGGTTGTGTCAGGAGCAAAGTGTCAATGCCTAAGCAGATCCTCGGCAGATCTGCTGGGTCAGGGTGGTGAATGACTGGCCTGTGGTGGCAGTTGTGACAGTAGCCCATGAAACAGTGACAGGTAGCTCTTTAGATGGACAGAAGCAGAAGTGGACAGGCTGGGGACAGGAGGCAATGATTGTCTGAGACAAGGAGTTCCGTTTTGAGATGGCCTTGCTGGGAGCCAGCATAATTCCATTTGCTTTGTCCCAGTCTAGTTTTATCTAGTTGCTGAATTTTGAGCCACCTGCAGTGTCTTCAAAGGCATATAGCATGTTAACAGGAAACTCCAAACATTGTGCTGCAGTACCTTGTCTGTGCAAATATCTGCCAAGCGATAAGCTCTCTCACATGTGCATCAGCCTCAGATCTGTGTTCTGTTCAGGCAGAACTAATGCAGAAAGGAGCAAGTCATAATTTCTGGCCACTGATATGTAAGGGGGCACATAATGTTTTATCCTAAGCACCTGCATTGGCTTTAAAACTTACTAAAGAGGCGGTAGCTCTATGTACAGCCTCAATCTGCCATTCAGACCTACTTGAGTCTCCCTCCCTCACACACTGTTCCCTAGAAACTGCTAGTGAATATGATCAAGTTTCCCATTAGAGTCTAATCTTTAGGATAGATCAGGTAAATGTCAGAATGTTATTCTTGTGCTTATGAATTATTCAAAAATATTTTAAAGTAAAGCTATTATTGGCACCACAGTGACCTGAAAGGAGTTTAATTTTCTGTAGTACTAGAAAAGAATTTGCTACTGTCTGGAAAAGGGGAAACATTTTAGGAAAGCTCTCAGTGTTTAAGGCCTAGGATACTTTGTATTTAGAACAAGGGTGGTGAACTCAGGAGGATGCTCTTTTCCCTCCTGTGTAATAATCTAAGGGGCACAAACCATCAGTGGACAAGACCAAATCCAAAAGCAGGTGAGTCCACATCTGTCCATCTACACCAGGCTTCCTCAACCTCAGCCCTCCAGATGTTTCTGGCCTACAACTCCCATGATCCCTAGCTAACAGGACCAATAGTCAGGGATGATGGTACCTGTAGTCTCAAAACATCTGGAGGGTCAAGGTTGAGGAAGCCTGATCTACACACTGCACCCAGACTCACACTAAACCAGCCAGCCAGCCACATACTCCCCACCCTTCACTCTCATCCATATTCATGCTGGGGTAGCTCAGTTGGTGGAGCATGAGACTTTTAATCTCAGGGTCATAGGTTCAAGCCCAACCTTGGGCAAAAAAATCCTGCATTGCAGGGGGTTGGACTAGATGACCCATGTGGTTGCTTCCAGCTTGTATTCATAGGCTTACTATCTCTAACAGTGGAGGCAGAACATGGCCATAAGGGCTAGCTGTCATGGATAACTTTGTCCTCCATGCACTTGTCAAATCCTCTTTTAAAGCCATACAAGTTGGTGACCATCACTACATCCTGAAACCAAACAGGCTCTTCCAAACCTTACAAACTAGTATCATATATATACAAATTAGTTGTATGGCAACTTCAAACTAACTAACTAACAAATAAATAAATAAATAAATAAATAATTTTTTATTTATACCCCACCCTTCCCGGTTCAGAACACTAGGCCCAGGGTGGCTAACAACAAACTTAAAACACTTAACTGATGCAACAAAAAACAGCATAAAATACAGTATAAAACGTGAATAACAATAAATTCAGAATTCAAAAATCAATTTAGGGGGGAAATCCATCCAATAAACATTAGATGATCACCAGGGCTAGCTGACTAAGTTAGTCCTATTTGGGCCAGCGAGGAGACCAGGGGAGAATTAGCTGTGGGATCCCAGAGCGGGTAATCTTCATAAAAAGGGGAGAGGGAGGGAAGGAAGAGGAATAAAAGATCAGGCTAAGTTCAAATTGAAAGCCAGGTGGAATAGCTCTGTCTTACAGGCCCTGCGGAAAGAAGTTAAATCCTGCAGGTCCCTGGTCTCATGGGACAGAGCATTCCACCAGGTCGGAGCCATCACTGAAAAGGCCCTGGCCCTGGTGGAGGATAGTCTGACTTCCTTAGGACCTCTAAACTAAACTCTAAACTGTAAACTAGACATAATATTAGTATTATGTGAATGACTGAGACCGTAATTCTCTGCACACTTACCTGAAAGTGAGCTTCATTGACCACAGTGGAACCTAGTTCTAAGTAAACATGCATAAGATTGTGCTGTCAAGTATGTTTCAAAACATATTTGTCACATGAGCATAAAGGGAAACAAGTAGCCTATAAAAAGGCTTCATCTTGATTAAGCTGTGCAATATTTTGCAAATTATCTCCCTTTTCTGTTGGCAAATTATCACCATGAAATGATATTCTTTACACATTTAATTTGAAGAATCAAATTTTATTTTATTTCACCCCTCAATTTGAATGATTTTGTGTACATATGTGTCAGCTTGCAAAAGAATGCTGAACTATCTTCTTCAGTTTATCAACTCTGTTATTTGCTATTATTGTGTGATACATTACATAATATGTTGTTCTCATTTTTTCAAATAGTCTAGAAAAGCAGTGAAAACACTTTCGGCAAGTGTGGTTATATATAACATATATTTATCAAACTTTCCTAAAATTTTTGAATGTAGTGGATGTGACTGAGAAATCATAACTTGTAACTTGTTTCCAATAGACGACAATAGGTCAGGGCATGTTGTGGCCTGTTGCTCTCTCTATCATCTGGTAATTACCTACATTGTCTCTAGACATGGCAGAAAGTAAGAAAAATGCTAACTTTACAATTTTAGCCATAGCAATTTAGATAGATGATAGATAGATATATACATGATAACAGACACAACTGCAACTATAAAAAGAGGTTAGTAGCTGCAGCAGCAGCACAACTTATGCAGTTGATGCAATATATGAGTTCATCTAGCCATGATGCAGATAGTTACATTTCTCTTTACAAATATATGCTCTTCTTTGTTCTTTGGAGAATGAAATATGGGATTTGCTCTCATAAGATGTAGTGATGGCCACCAACTTGGATGACTTCAGAAGTGGATTAGGTAAGTTGGTGGCCATCACTACATCTTATGAGAGGTGAACCCTGTTGCCCTCAGGTCCAGTTTTTGGGCTTCCCATAAGAACACAAGAAGACCCTGCTGAATCAGGCTAAATATCCATCTAGTTCAGTAACCTGTTCTCACAGTTGGCTAAACAGATGCACATGGGAGTCCACAAACAGACATCTGGTTGGCCACAGGATGTGAGACTAGATGGGCCTTTAGTTTCATCTAGAGCTGTGGTTCCCAATCATACACCCCACAGGGAGGCAATTTGATTTTTAAGGGGGGCAATTTGAGAATGAATTTTTAACAGTGAATGGTCTCTTAGGCTTCCTCCATGTGAACAGGAGTTCACTATGTCACGTGGGGGGTGGGAATCAGGATTTTAGATATGCTTCGGTGGGGCATGGCCAAAAAGGGTTGGGAACCACTGATCTAGAGAGACTCTTCATATGTTCTTGTGTTGAAATTTAAAGTCCAGTTATGGTCATTAAAATGTCCTCCAGTTAATACAATCTTTCCCTGAAACTTCCAAACTATTTTTAAAAAAATATAAAGTGGCATTTAAATATTGTATCTTGTCTCAATGCTTATTTTCAAGGGTACTGTCTGGAAGGCATTATTTTGGCAGTCATTACTGCTCATTTGCAATGTGATTTTTTTAAAAAAGGTATCTGTGCAATGGATATTAAAGAATGTATAACAGAGACATTTTCCTTTGTGAGAAGAATCATCATTAAAACACACACAAGTGCAAGCATCACTCAATTGGTGCCAACCCTGACAAATGTGAGGTCAGGCAAGAGACCCAATGGGAGGATCCTTACTGAATGGAGCTAGTGGAAGGCCCAGAAGGCTGAAGCTGGACCAACCTGGGAACCACTGGATCCTGGGCTGTTCTCATAGCTGTAATATGATAGCATTGAGTCAACTCCAATTGTCCTCCCCCCCCCCCCCGCTTCCACTGTAGCCACTGTAATCAGCAGGTCTGCAAGTGCAGTGGTGGCCCCACAGCTCCACCAAGCCCTGCTTGGAGCACAGGTGAGGTAAGTTTGTGCTCTAATTTACCCAGCATTCATTATGCACTTGTCTTATCTTTCCTTAGCATGAAACCTGATTTTTGACTTATTCATATCTTAAAATTCCCAATTATTTCTTATTAAGCCTCTCCAGTTGCTTATGGTTTAGCTTTCCAAAAAAATAACATATATTCTGTTTCTTATTTTGTAGATGAATTAGTACCATTCTAAGTAGCTATTCCCAGCAATTCCAGAAAAGCTAATTGAACTGCTCTCCATAAGGACTGTACTGCAAGAGGGGGGGAGGGGAAGCAAACCTCTTATTCACCTTATTATGTTGCCACCCAGAATAGCTCCTTACAGTGCTCTAGATAAAACTTGAGAGGAATCTACTACATCCCAGGAATGCCCCAGTTTCCAAGAAGGCTGCTGTTGTGGGGGTTGGGGACAACATCCCACAATACTCAGAACTCCTTACATTACCAAAGCAAAATGATAAGAAGCCCCTCACCCCTGAAGAAAGGAAAAAAGAAGGAAGGGGGAGAGAGAGAGAGAGAGAGAGAGAGAGAGAGAGAGAAGGTAGTTAGGTGACCACCTTAACTCACACTTGCATATGCTTGTGTGGCACTAATAACCAGCACTATAATAATAATAATAATAATAATAATAATAATAATAATAATAATAGAAATGTAGTCTGGATAGATGCAGGCTAACCAGGAGAAAGCTAGGAAGTAAAAATGATCCTTCTTGGTTTATGAAATAAAATGGGTTGCCAATATGAGCGTGAATCCACCTCCCCCCCCCCTTACAATCATTCATGTCTTATGAAGACATAATGAGTTGTTCATCTGAAGTTTCTGGCCCAATCCGCCATCCCTATAATTTTCCTTTTATAAACTACATAGGAATCTCAATGCCTGCCTCAGCAGAAGCTATTATTTATTGGCTGACTTCCAGCAGATGCCATAAATTGGCCTAAGTTCACAAGCCTCAGCGAAACTTTCAGTGAACTTGACTGTGGAGGTTTTTTACCTTTGATACCGTTAAAAACCTATACTTAAAGCTACTTCCCACCCCCCTCTCACATAAAGAAAGGAACCTATGAAAGCAGCCTGAAGAACAGCAATAACCATTTTCACAAGGTCGACTCTTTGGGCCCTAAAGGCACACTCAGAGAAGGAAAAATAGTTTTCAAACTATTGATCTTATTACAAAAAAAGGAGGAGAAAACATGATGGGATAGGTTTGTGCATTTCAAAAACAAGATATAAAGATGACCCAAACAGGAAATTATGTTTCCTCTGCTGGGGAAAACAGTGCAGATTTTTCCTATCCCCCAAATCAATCTCAAAAAATGGAAATTAAAATCAATAAAGGTAGCAGTTTAATTTTTTTATTATTAAAAAAAAGCCTTCTCTAAATACCTGTGGATATCAGTATGCCTGCATGATAAGTCAGCGCAGGTCAAAGCTGCGAAGTTTTAATTCACAGCACCATTGTGTCTGTCTGACCATCTGTTCCTTTAAAATGGCTGCATCAACAAAGGACTGTTATTTAATTTTCCACTTAAATTTTAAGTACAAATGAAAAGGCAGCCCTGTATGGCAGTAGCTGATTCCAGGCCTAAAAGCTAACAATGAGCTGCTCTTTTGCTTTCCCCAGATCTCACCATACAGAATTATGTGATGTTCCAGCATTCAGCACCATCGCCTTTGAAATTAGAGCATATAACTCTTTCAGCAGAAGAAAAAGGAATTTATTCACAGATTCCATTATTTTGCAACATATGACTCTTATTAATTAAGCATGATCCAATGATCTAAAGAGGTGTAACACAGTTTCCCGTCTGAGAAAGAAACTTATATATTAGCTGGAATTTTGAATTTACTGGTGGACCATGAATTTTTTTTTATTAGAAACTGTTCCTTTATTCAATAAGAGGCCTCTCTAAGAGGACTTTGTACAGTAAATATTTCAGTAGTCATTTTTTTCCTCTAGATTAAAAACCCAATGATTGTTTTATACCTTTTTTATACGAACAGGGGGCTGAGACTGTTTTTTTCTTTAAAAAATGTCACCTGGGATATACATGGACCATATTTGAGTCTTTGAAATTATTCACAAAAGTAATTTATTGCTTCCTTTCTAAAGGGATATAAGGAATATTCTGCTTTCTTTCTTGATTGCTTCCTTTCCTTTCCATTATTATTCCCCTGTTGTACAATTTCTTGTGCTACTATGAAATATAAATCTATTTTTATCACAGGAAAATATGCATAATGATATAAAACATATTTCAATTTATTTAGCCTTTTCTGGGATAAAGTCCAATTATGGTCTTTAAACTATCCTCTAGTTGGTATTATTCTTTCACAGAACTTCCAAGCTGTTTTATGATAAAGAGGCATTTAAATACTGCATCTTGTCTCAATGCATATTTTTAAGGTACTATCCAGAAGGCATTCTTTTGGCAATCATTACTGTTGTGTTAAATATGCATTGAGACACAGGGTGATCAAACACACACACACACACACACACACACACACACATACACACCCTATGCTGATCTTCGTACGCTGGATATTAAAGTGTGACTGTGACATTTTCCTTTGTTAAGAGAAACATCCTTTTTTAAAAAAGAACGTAAGAGCAAGTTCTGATTAGCATTGTGCAAATTGTTTTCCTTCTTGATAGGAAACAGCTTTTTTAAAAAAAATCAATCTATGGATTCTCTCATCATTCAGCTATCACTTTATAGCTGATGTAAAAGTTACATGTGGTGGAAATTCTATCTCTGATTTAACCCTTGTCAGACAAGTATCTTTCTTGCATGTTCCAGGCTGTCTTATTACAGTGGTCCCTCCGGTTACAGGTGCTTCAGGTTACAGACGCTTCAGGTTACAGACTCCTCTAACCCAGAAATAGTACCTCGGATTAAGAACTTTGCTGCAGGATGAGAACAGTAATTGCGCGCTGGCGGTGTGGCGGCAGCAGGAGGCCCCATTAGCTAAAGTGGTACCTCAGGTTAAGAACAGTTTCAGGTTAAGAATGGACCTCCAGAACAAATTAAGTTCTTAACCCGAGGTCCCACTGTACTCCCAAGGCTGAAGTTATTACTGTAATCACAAGTGAAAACACGTTGCAGGTGGTGGACAATCTCACACACACTGACTCCTGTACTGCATACAGTAAAACAATATCACACAGCCACAAGCTTGTCCTCTGAACTTTGTGCCCTAGCAGTTTTCAAGTTTTGTGCAAGTTTCTCTAAGGCAATATGCTGCAAATTTTCATACCAATATCCAAGGACATTAATTTGGAAATCCAGTGTTTGGCTCCCATTGAGACCAAAAGTGAACTATGAATTTATTATGGTGCAAATCTATGTCACACATCTGAGTCACTGCATCCAATTTAACATATTCCCATGTGTCCCTTAGAAAGTTTTTGTCATTTTGCCAACAGTCAAGGCATAAACTTCAGAATTGCACTTCTTTGTTGTGCAAGGATAGTCTATATGATAAACTGAATATTGTCAGTACAAAAAATGTGAGAGATGAATGGCTATTTTGCTAGTGTGAAATGTTCTGAACCACATAGTTATCTACATAAACTGTATTAATTTTCTGGAGTTCTGCTAACACAAAGGGAAACCATTTTTACAGTTCCTGAACTTGGGTACAGCAGAAGGATAAAGTGTTTCTCATGAGGAAAACGCAGGGTTTTCACTTTCTTTGAAATGTATAATTCTATCGGTCATTAGGACACTCAAGGGGTTAATATACCCACAAATCACTTCCCTAATGTACAGTGGAGCATCTTAATGATTCTTTTGCTGTTCCTTACCTGTAACAGGAGACATATTACAAAACTTATTGGGATGGTGGGAAAGACTGAATACATTCAATGAGCCCTCTAAACAGTCCTGCTAAATGCCCTTAAAAAGCACCTTAGAGCATAATTGGAACATGAAAACTTCAAATGACTAATCTTAAACTAGAATCTCCATTAAGAAAGTGACTGTGGAAACCTTGAGAATTTTAAAATGCTTCTGATACGAGCTTATAGATGACAGTTCAGAAGAACCAAGAAAAAGAGTAGGAAGAGGAAGGAAGGTATATGAAAAAACGTAGAATAGTGAAAAGTCCTATCCCTGAAATTTAGGTTAAGAGCCTAAACTGAGATACCAGTAGACATATGATCAGTCTTGGCTTTGAAACCAACAAAATTGAAAGACTTCCGGGTCAGCGCCATCGGTGAATGACGGAGTTCCTCCGACCGGAGGAATGGGCTCTGTGGAAACTGGGTCTTCCCACCACGGCGAAGGTGGGGACCCGCTAGAAATCCCAGGTGGAGGAAGCCTGGGAATGTGGGGTTCGGCAGGGCACCAGGAGTGCCCCCCCTACTCACCGGGAACCCCATTTTGGGGCGCCGGAGCGAAGTGGGGTGAGTGGCGCATTGCTGCGAACTGATTGCTATTTTCACGGAGTGAAGCCGCACAGCCATTGCCGGAGAGCGCTGACTTTTTCCTGTGGACAATTGGATTTAAAACAAGTACCCATGAGTAGAAACGGAAAATTGGATTAAGAAATATTTCAATTTGGCATCAAAGCGGGAAGGGTCAAAACAGGAAGTCCGCCTTCCGCTTTTTGTATATAGACTAAAGCAAAAACTTTGTAAGCTAAAGCCTGGAAAGCTGTTAAAAAAGTCTAAATTTCCTTCATTCAGAATTACTGAAACCCCTTGGAAGCAGGAGAAAAGGGGGGGGGGACTTTGTTTAACCCTAGCAGGAGAGGGAGTGAAGAAGGATAAGTTTCCACCGTCTCTAACCTGGGAACGGGGTGTCAGAGACAGAAACTGTTGGAGAGGTTCATTGACTGTGAATGGAATACTTTGACAGATAGCTAAAGAAGAGAAACAAACTGATTCCAATGTTGCCTTTTGCATTCTGAAGAAACAAAATATCTGAAAAATATCTGGAAAATGAAAGTAATTTTCCTTTGTTGGACTTGCCTTAAAAAAAAAATGGATACAAATAGAAATTGTCTCCTCTAGAGGGAGCTTGTTAAATTGTTGCTGCAGTATACTTGAGGACTCAACAGCTGTGAGATTAAGATCATGGGATCAGTCTCTTCTGACCTTGACTAAAGATGAGCTGGGAGGAAGATTGGGTGCTTGCTCTATGCAAGACAAGTGCCTTGCTGGAACAGATGCATGAGAAGATGGATTTTATGAATGAGAAAATGGATTTGATGACCGTTGTGGTTAATAACTGTGGACAAACAGGGAACATTGATACAGAAATCATTCAAGAACCAACTCATGAACCTGTACTGTCTGGGCAGGTGCAGAAGATAATGGAGGAGGATGCGGTTGCACCTCAAATAATACAAATGGAGAGACCCGAGGCCCTACAGGAGCATGATCCGCTGTCATTGAAGATTGAAGTTGAGAGTGGGCCAGGGGGAGTTTGGAGCTTAGGAGGTTCCTAACTTTGGAGAGACCTGGAAATATGCTTTTAAATACTTTTTGGACTATAGCAATGACTGTGGGGAATGGGTCTGTGGGGAATGGGCGGGTTTGATGAAGAGAGATGGAGACAATTTTGGGTTGGAAATCCCCAGAGACCTACTCCTCAATGAGAAAGGAAAGAAATTAAGAAAGAGACCAACAAAAGACAAGGAAAAGGGCAAGTATAAACAACAAGAAGAAGAACTGCAGAAGGGACATGGAAGAGACTTAAGGGCCTCGGACATAAGGCTTCCAGGTTGATGGACTAGATGGAATAGACAGTAAGGACTGACACGATCCGAGACCAGGAAGAAGAGACGTTGGATGAAGATTGGAAAAAATTTACAAATAAAAACTTTCTATTTAGGGAATTAGCTTAAAATTAATGAATATTAGGGAAAATGTTGGAATGAAACTATATGACTCTAGCAGAAATGATATCAGGAGTTATGTATATTTGAAAACTAAGATTTAAGCTTTAAGGTATTTTAGGGTAAGATAAGGTTAAATAAACTAAGGTAATTTGAATAATAGAATATGGGGAAAGATGGAAAGGATTTGTTGAGCTAATTATTAGGTTAAATTGTTAAGATAAATTTTGTAACAAAAATTGAGAAAGATGGAAAGAATTTGCTGAAATAACTAATTGAACTAGAATGCAAGAAGGGAGGTGTGAGGAGGTCAATGAAACAAGCAAATGGAAGTTATAGATATGTAATTTGGGATTTGTGTTTTTTTCTTTTTTTCTGTTTTCCTTTTTTCTTTGTATTTTTTTGCTGTACTGTTGTATTGGTTTTTGTGTTGTTGTTTTTCCCCTCTCTTTTTTATGTATTATTGTGTTGTTTCTTATTTTTTCTTTATTTTTTTATAATTCTGAAACTACTAATAAATATTATTTAAAAAAAAAGAAAAGAAATGCAGATTATGTGTGTGAATCTGATTGGATGAGGGGATTATGGGAGCTACTTTCCTTGGGAATTTTTCCAAGCAATATTTTGCTAATCAAGGCCCAATTCAACCTATGTTTTTTAATGTAAATATTCTCTCTCTCTGTGTGTGTGTGTGTGTGAGAGAGAGAGAGAATGTGTATATGCCAAAAGCATGTACTCTGATCCTGATGAACTGCCTACCCAGACACTTTCTTATGTTATAATCATGACAGACACTTTTCAAGCATTTTCCTGAACACATGAGCATTAAAATTGCATGCAAGCCCCCCCACCCCACAAATCCTTGCAAGGTTCTTGGCTTCTGTCAGACCTTTGTCCATTCAGCACAAAGCTCTGAAGGGGGACAATGGGGTGTGCATACACCCCCCCCCCCCGCAATTTACACCCTTGCATGTTCAGGTAAAAGCTCCTCTTAAGCTGTTATTTGCCATACTAGAAAAATGCATATGCAAATGTATCATATGCATATTGTGACAAATTGCAGAATGGGGGAATTTTCATCAGGTAAACAACATTGGTGTGTGTAGGGTTTAGTCTCTTCACGTGCTCCCTCTATGGACCAGAGTCCTTCCTGGCTCCCAGGGTTAAACTTAGGATAAATGCAGCCACATTTGCCTGTTGTATGTTTTAGAAATAACTGCTTTCACATTTCATCCCAACACTTATTTTTAAGCTGTTCTTTTGTCCATTGCTCCTAAAAACATTTTTTTTTAGAAAGAAAGAAAACAAATTTTGTTTCTCACTATTTATTTTTAGTTTTGCAAGCTAGAGCTTTTATGAAACCCAAATTGCAGGTCTAATGAGAACTGGCATTTGCTCACTGAACAGAAGAAAAGCATCGTGGTTCTTACTGCATCCATAACAATGTTTGAGCATAAACATAAAAAGAAACAGGAAAGCCTGGACTGCACTAGCTTACAATCCAATTAGTTCATGTGACCACATTGGATATCTCCTACTTCTGAAATGGCCTGTTGCCATTTAGAGTCAATTGGGATGGCAGCGATTACTTCTCATATTGTTTCCAACTCAAAACATATTCATTCTTCTGTGCTTGACCACCTGTTCATAATACTGAAATGTTTAATGCACATTTGTTATCTTCAACAGATAACGATCTTCCATTTAATTTCTTTGAAGAGGCAGGATCTCCCAGAATTGCAGGAAGATGATAGTGATGAAGCACAATACCAGCTGATAACTGTTGATGAAGGAGAGTTGGTAAATGCACCCTACCTAGACTTCTCAAAGCTATGGGCCACTCAACAGTGTACTTGAATAAATTAATTCAATCAATTCTGGCTCAGAATGTAATAGAACAACATGGAGAGAGGGAAGTAGAGTGATATCAGAAATTCACATTTCTAGGCTGTGTTTACCATATTATTGAAAGGGTGCTTGTTGTGTAATGGATAATCTGAAAGTGAAGTAGCCAGCATTAACCAGCATGTTGTCCTCAGTTTTACAGATCTCATTATTATATATACACTAACAGCAGGGCTAATGGTTTTGGTGCATCACAAAGTGTGTACAAGACCTCTGCATCCTATTTTGTACCCATTTAATTCAGTTGCCGCAGGTGCAATACCCATTCTTTGCAAAGGAAAATGGGCCTGCACTTTCCCCTCTCATTTATTGGCAGGAGAAAGTTTCTCTGGATAGGTGAGCTGAAGAGGAGAGTTTGGGGGGGGGGAGAGATTAGTCAGCTGCCACCGCATCCCTATAGGATTCTCAATCCACACTTAATAGGCTTTTCCACTGTCAAGTTAGGGAGGAGGACTGATATTATGGGGTTGATCCAGACAAAGTAAAGTATGTTTAAGTTTGTCACATTCCAATGGGAGAAGGTTGAGGACAGTGCTATGCCAGGCCATTTTACTGGCTGAGTGGCACTGTGGGTTAAACCACAGAGCCTAGGGCTTGCCGATCAGAATGTTGGCAGTTCGAATCCCCACGATGGGGTGAGCTCCCGTTGCTCGGTCCCTGCTCCTGCCAACCTAGCAGTTCGAAAGCACATCAAAGTGCAAGTAGATAAATAGGTACCGCTCCGGCGGGAAGGTAAACGGCGTTTCCGTGTGCTGCTCTGGTTCGCCAGAAGTGGCTTAGTCATGCTGGCCACATGACCCGGAAGCTGTATGCCGGCTCCCTCAGCCAATAAAGTGTGTTGCAACCCCAGAGTCGGCCACAACTGGACCTAATGGTCAGGGGTCCCTTTACCTTAAATCTTTCCTGCCAAGTAAAGGCATATAGTTCAGTGATAGATATCCACAGCATTGAAATTCAGTGTCAAAAATAGCCTGCTTTCATTTGCATGACATCAATCAAGTCCTGATAATGAGCAAATAGGTGAACAGTGACAATTCCCACACCCATTTCTATTTTGATCTGAACTCTGTGTCATTAGTACCCAAGGTTGGCAAGTTATTTTGGCATCTGAGAGAGAAAATCCCAGAAGTGCCTTTCCTTCAGAATAAAAATACAATATTTGACAAACCAGTTCCTGCCCTTTCGTGACACCCACAATCAGCTGCATTAGACAGCAACCTCCTCAACCTAATAGTAGCACCAGTCCTGGAAAGAAATACTTACATTCTTGAATTCTAACTGATTTTAATGAATGTGCTTAACTGTGATTTGGATTGTGTATTTTCTTTCTCTATACAGTGACCATATTAAAAGAGGACAGAAAAGACTCAGAGATTAAACACAGAAATAGCTACAGGTGTTAGCAGTGAAAATGTCATGCTGATTAATATGGGGGAAATACTTCAAATGATATTTGGGAAGCTGATAGTGGAAACTCTAATGTCAGAAGTTCTAAACAGCAAATCAGTTTGTATGATTAAATACATAATCCAGAAATGAATTTTGAGATGCTAAAGGAATACAGGGAAAAAAATCCCTGGCCTCTTCATATAACTGCAGTCATGGGGGGTGGGAGGTGGAAATGCAGTCAACCAACATTTTCCAAATGTGAAACAAGCTTAGCAATAGAGATACAAGTCATTGTCTAGAGTGACCCATGCAAAAAAAGGATATAAAACAGAGTTGGATGATGAGACTAGAAGAAAAAGAAATAGGGGAAACAAACACAGAAAAGCAAGAAGACAAAGGTACTGAAGAAAATAGAAATATAACTAAGGATGAGCAAATCTGTCAATTCTGGTGTCTCTCTGTTTCAAATTTATCCGATCTTAAATTCAGCTTTTCAGATTTCCACATCAGCTTGGGATTTTAAAAAAATAAATAAATAAAAGGTCATCATGAAAATTCATCAGTGTTAAAAAAGAAAGTAGAATTATTCTGTGTTCACAACATACAGTGAATATATATGTTGATTCCATTGATATATGTGCTTTTGTGTACACTTTCCCCATGGATAAACATTTTTGTACACATTGTTTGGGTGGCGAACTGCATTGCAAAATTCGGAGAGGTTTGAATTTCAAAAGATGGTTGTGTTTCATTTTGCACTTTGTTTTGGAAAGTGCAAATCTGGTCACTTCACCTTTATATGCAAACTGGATTGAATTTCTCCCTCATCCCTAGGTATGTCGACTACAGTTTTGTTATGTTCTGTCTCCTCTGACTATGGGTAACAGAGAATGGGAGTGAAGAGCAAAATATGAGTGAGGACAAAGGGTGGAAACGGATAGGCCAGTCCAGCTTATCTTTCTTATTTTTCCACTTGCTTGCATATACTATGTAAGAAACAGAGATGTTTAAACTCTCCAAAGTTCTTCTGGGCTGGGCTTTCCCCAAGTTTCCCAGAAATAAAAATAGACCACACTGAGGGCTTGAAAGAAAACCACCAGCATCCCTTCTGCATTGACTTGCCAGCTCCTCCCAAATACCCACTTCCATTTCCTCTGTGGCAGTGATGAGACAGACATGGAAAAGAGAGGAACACAGTTTCCCCCACTCCATTGCCCCAGTACGCTAGCTAATAGTACATTCAATGACTGTGCAGCCTGTGTACCCAAATACTTGAACCATACACTTGCTCAGTTATTTATATGTAATGTTCAGTGACTGTACAGTCTGTCCATTTGAATACACAACAGATGAACTGTACACAGCTTCAGACAAATGTGTAGAGATTGCTTGTACTTGTGTTCAGTTTAAAGGACATGGGAGGGCATAAAAGACTATGGGAGCTGTAGCTTTACCCAAAGGAGCTATAATTGCAGGATCTCTAGGGAGCTAATCCCATGCATCCCATTACACTATTAACCAATGTAATGAAGTAATGAAGAGAAAGAGAGAGAGACTTATTTTCTCTCTTTTTGTGATGTTGCTGCTGCTCTTTCCACTGAGAAAGGAAGGGAAGAGCAGTGATAGGCTGGCAGGGGGGAAGCCAGGAATCTTAATGCAAAAGATTGAGACTTGAAATGGTCACCTCTTATTTGGGGGCCTGTTTTTTTATGAATCACAGAATGTATTTCCTGGCATCTCTAATCAAGATTTTATATTACTGGTAAAATATCCCATTTTTGCCAAAGCGAAGCAAAATATCTGAGCCTTTTTTTCTGTTTGAGAAAATGTTTGGCATGATATTCCTGGAAACAAAACACAAGCATCTATTTGGAAATGCCTAAAGTGGTTTGGTATGGTGTCATCTTGCACAAATGTACAATACAGGAACTAATTGAAGCATATGGCCATCAAAAGGGAAAAGGACTGATTGCATGCCGATTTCCAAACACTTTCCACATTGTTGCTGAGAAGATCCTCCTCCACCTTCATATCTCCACATTGATTTTGGCATGGGTTTAATATGCAAATCTAAGGTCACCTGTTTCCCACTAGCTATTAATAAACTAGCAGTCTGTAATCCTACCTCCCTGAAAGCTAATCATTAGAAAGGAAATGTCACTCTAACATTACAGTCATTAAAAAAATAAAGCGAGATCAAAAGCTTATTCAGTTTGGTTTGATGACCTCCCTAGTACAGCGAGAGCTTCCAAATGATTGCCTTCTAGACAATTCTTACAGAGAACTGCTGACACATTGTCCTCATGGAGAAGAAACCTGCAGTTGGTCCTTGTAGCTAACAAAACCTTTTAAGCTCCAACCAGCAATTCCATGCAGAAGAAATGATTAAGGAAATGCCACCTCCAGGCATGAAAAAAAACTTTGCACAATAAACCAGATGGGATAAAATTAGACTGTGTTATCAAGACTGAAAAGCTAAACGTTAATGCTGTAATTGCAGCCAAGAAGACTGCAATATGGAGCGCTGATAAAGTTGCTTTGAATTAGAGATGGTTATGGATTAAAATACAAATTGCTATCCTCCATGTGAAAGTACAAAATGTTAGCAGCCATTTTGCTTTGGAAAGCACAGTTTTGCTGAAATTGTGGCTGGTGAAATCTCTGATATTGCTAGCAAAAACGCTAAAATAGAAGCTAACATGTGGTTTCACTATATGTTCTCTGTTCTTCTTCACTGGCTTAAGCCAGGATGTTAGATAGATGCCCAAGAAGATGTTACAGGATCAGACAGAAAGTTTTGTGTTTAGAAAAAAAAATGATTTAGAAGTCAAAAGGATAAATGCTGTTTCTTAGAAGATAGAATCACCAATATGTCATGTGAGAATAGTAGAAGTCTTGCAATAAACTGATATTACTGGAGATGAAGTGTGTGAGGGGGGATCATAATAATAGACAGAGAAGAATCAATAGTGTTGCGGCATCTTAGAAACTCAAGGAAGAAGACAATCAAGGTGCATAACCCAGCTGGTAGTATTACAGGCAGCAGAAAGTAAAAAAAAAGCCATTATATTTGGTAAAATGAAATGGGTGAACATCAGTACAGGGAGCCTCTTGGTTTATGAAATGAAACAAAAGTCATAGATATAAACATCAAGTGCTCTAGTTGTTTGGCAATGAAGGTAAGAGATGAGTGATCTCAGACAAGAAGGCTAGGAAGGAATGTGTGTGTTCATAGAATGAGGGAAGGTAAAGCATGTAAGAAAACAGAAAGCAAAAAGAGACTGATGACAATAACATTTCCCAGCATGCAGTGTGTCTTGGGGCCATTTCTTTTTTCACGTCAAGAGTTATTCCATATATTCCAGTCAAACTCTGTTATAGGAACACATTTTAAACATGGAGACTACATGGTCACATTACTGGGAAGAGAACAGTGGTTTCAAACCCCCCCCCCCCAGTTTCTGTTCCTAGCCTAATTTTGACTCATAGGGCTGCAGGCTCTTGTCCTCATAACATACATAAAATATGCTGCTGTATTTATTTCATACGCAGTACCATTAGTTGTAAAGATAAAAAACCCACTCCTCAAAGTGGTATAAATCACATCACAGGTATCATAATAAGTTCCAGAACCTCTCTGGTAGGCTCCATTGGCATTATAAGACACCAAGGGAGGCATTCATGGTAAGCTCCAGCACCTTTCCCCCCCTAGAAAAATACTAGTGTTTAAATGGCTCAGGACTGCCATACCTCAAATAACTGACCCGGACCCTGCAATTACCAACTGTGTGCCCCCTCCACGACAGGTTGGGAGGGTGGCAACATGAGAGCAGGCCTTTTTTGCTGTGGCTCCCCATTTTTTGCAAGCTCTCCCCAGGGAGGCTCACCTGGTGCCTTCATTACAGTGGTACCTCGGGTTAAGAACTTACTGAAATTCATTCTGGAGGTCCATTCTTAACCTGAAACTGTTCTTAACCCGAGGTACCACTTTAGTTAATGGGGCCTCCCGTTGCCGCCGCCGCATGATTTCTGTTCTCATCCTGAAGCAAAGTTCTTAACCCGAGGTACTATTTCTGGGTTAGCGGAGTCTGTAACCTGAAGCGTCTGTAACCCGAGGTACCACTGTACATATTTTTCACTGCCAAGCAAAATCATTCCTTGTTTCCCAGGACTTTGGCTAATTAAACACTCTGGCCTTTTAAACTGTGAGGGAGTATTGTTTTTGTTTCTTACTATATTATGTATTTTTGTGTTTCTCTGTGGAAAACTGCCCTATGATCCTTGGATTAATGACAATATAGACATTATTATTAATAGTAAGTCCCTGGTTCCATCCTTAGCATCTCCAGGTGGGACTTGGAGAGATACGTGCCTGAAATTCTGGTGAATTATTGCAGGACTTAGGGACAACAGTGAGCCAGAAGAACAAAGGCATCTTCCTATATTTCTAGGTGGAAATTCAGACCCGTTATACTTCCTCACTCTTTTGAAAATGTTTCATGGTGTCAAGAGTTGTTGGTTCTAGATATTCAGTTCAGGGGCAGGTGAATAGCAATCTGCTCTCCTCTTCTTCTTCCAGCAAATGGTTTTCAACACCATAACATTACATCCTCAAAGCTCTTGTGTTCATTGTATAGGGACTAACATTGAACATTTCATTGGCATTTGGAAGATGACTTCTGGGCAGAAGTAATAGAATCAAAGAATCAAAGAATTGCAGAGTTAGAAGGGGCATCTAGTCCAACTCCCTAATAACTTAAAGACTATCAAATTTCTTACGGCATAATCTCTTGTGGATCCAAATAAATACCTGGTTCATTATAATGAACCAGGTATTTATTTGGATCCACAAGAGATTATTTTTTGCTCTATAAGACTCACTTTTTCCCTCCTAAAAAGTAAGGGGAAATGTGTGTGCGTCTTATGGAGCGAATGCAGGCTGCGCAGCTATCCCAGAATCCAGAACAGCAAGAGGGATTACTGCTTTCACTGCGCAGCAATCCCTCTTGCTGTTCTGGCTTCTGAGATTCAGAATATTTTTTTTCTTGTTTTCCTCCTCCAAAAACTAGGTGCGTCTTGTGGTCTGGTGCGTCTTATAGAGCGAAAAATACGGTGTGTGTGTGTGTGTGTGTATATATATATATATTCAGTTCAGCACTTTTACTCTTCACAGCATCTCAACTGGCTTCCAAATGCCAAAGAAATTTCTAGGAAACACTAGTATTAGCAGCAGAATTCTTTACGTACTAGGTAAAGTTATGAATATTTTCCAAAAATCTGCTTAATCAAAGAAAGCAAATTAACAGTATGTTAAATCAAGCTTGCTTTTGTGTCTGTATGTCTGTGGTAACTGACAAGTCACCAGATGCTGAAGATCAATAAATGTTTTGCATATTTTAATTATTCTTCTGGGTTTAGATCTTAATTACTCTTATGAACTTCAGGTAGTTTTGGCAGACAGAGTTTACCTTGAAGCTGTGTGCTTCACTGTTGTTTCATCAATTAATACAAGATGCCCGCATGCTGGTGTAGTAGTTGAGTCTGTCACTGCTTTTCATCCTGGCAACTCCCACTGAATAATAAAATTTCAAAATAGACAGGTTTTACTGTGTGTCTTCCTAACTATATAGCTGGGTGCATTTCACATGTCATCATAGCAGGAGCTCAGGATTTATATTTAATTCTATACTATTTATTTCAACTGAAGACAACTGAAGCCACGTAGCTATGTGAAAGAGCACATGTTTTGCATGCCAGAAATCTCAGCAGAGGCTTCGCATGCAGGTGCAGGATCAGATACCACAGTGAATTGCAAATTTTTTTTGTATATTTAAGCCATCAAATGCCCTGGTGAGCATTAATGTTTGTAAATTCCTTCTAAATGTTAATAATGAATAGAGTGGTTCACCACCAGAGGCCTCATTGTAGCCATTAACCTTGTTTATTATGACAGTACCGGTTAACCCCAGCGTTAAACAACCTGTATTATTGACACCTGATTAGTAGCTTTGTAGTAAGCCAATGGTTGCCATTTTGTTATTTTGATGCGATCTTGTCTGAAATATATTTCTCTATTGGTATCTATGTCATAAATGAAGAATAAAGCAACCAGTGCTATTTCATTGCCAAGAGTAGTATTTACTATTTATATACATGAGGCCCAGAATCAGTCAGCAACTCTAAATCTGGTAAAAGTCCCTGTCTTTTCCAATCAATCAGAATGATTCACAGAATGGGACATATAACAGATAGCAATTTGGGAGGTGGTTGACTGTCACAATGTGTAGGAGCAGATTACCGGAGATCATATAATATTTGCATGGAGGGGTAGAATAGACACAAAATGGTTTCCTTGAAGTACTTTCTTGAACTCTTTTCTTTCACTATATTATTATATCTAGGAAAGTAGAAGTTTGGAATTATGACAAAATGATGTTGCAGTTAGATGCACATTTGTTTCCGATTCGTGGATATAGTGTTAATGGCAAAATCTAGGACTTCCCTTTCCTTACCCCCTTAAAAGAAATCAAATGTTAATGACTGTACATTGAACCACTGCTGCATCTTCTCATGATGATTTCCATTCCCAGTGGTGTGATAAACTACAGAGTGACTGAATAAACACTTTGGTTTTAATTACACTTGTAGTCTGTGTCTATATACACAGTGGTATTCCCTGAGCAAAACTTGAGTATACATATTATAGAAAATGTTTTTTTAAACTTATGACTTATGGGTCTTTAATTTCATCTCAGGGTTCTGCTGACTACATATCTAACCTGGCACATTCTTTGCAGATTTATACTATCTCTACAGCCAGAAGGCAGAAGAATTATAGCCCAATAATTTTCAGACAGCAGCTTACTCTATTTAAACTCCACAGGTTTCTTTAAATTAATAGCAATTAGCTCACTCATATTTGTGGAGGACACATGGTAGCAGCTTGTAATTACCTAGTACCTTACTAACATTGCTAGATGCTGTGCAGTGTACAGAAAGGGTTGCTAGTGGTAAATTATGCATCATTAGCATTCTTTAAGTTTGCATTATCTAAAGTGAAACTTTATGACTTGTTAATATCATGTCCTTTATCATCTGACCTCAGCCTGGCCCATCACTTCAGCGATAAAATTAAAGAAGGGGGTTGCAGTGCATCAGATAGCATGAAGCAGACCTTTATTACATCAGCAGCAGCAACAAAATCCCTGAAACCCCATAAAGCAACATGATTACACAACATGGGGTGTGCTCCCTTTGGTACTAAAATGCTCTCCTCTTTGCATAATGCAAATAAATTGATGGAATTTAGTATTTACGAGGGAGATAATCTGCCACAGTACATAAATCAAAATGAAGCTGCAGAGGGTGGGCTGCACAAATGGGCTGAGTCACAGTCACACTAACCAGGCTTTGAGACATATTTTACAGTAGCCTGCATATCTGTGCACCTCCCAGAATAAATCCTCTTAAATGATTGATGGGGATGGACATTCTCTCAAGATGTGAATGCTGGAAATGTGTAATAAATCAATCAATCTAGAGTCTGAACAGACACCCTGTGTCTGCTATCTGCATATCAGGCTTTTGTTGTTCTCCTTCACTGCTCTGGAAATTTGCCTGGATATTTTTTTTAAGGGGGAATTTGGAATGGTTCTATTTTTTTTCTACACTTGCTTGGAATGAAAATTGCCTCAGCTCAGGTCTAAACATTTGCTGATTTAAAAGGGCAGAATTACAACATATAAGGGAGCCTGTAACTAAGTGTTGCATTGTATCCTCACCCTTCAAAAACCAGGACTCCGGTCCACAATTCCAAACAGGCAAGCCATGGCCTCTTATGGGAACTTGATTCCATTCCTCATTTTCCATCCCACCAAAGAGGACATTGAGCCTTCTGTGGCTATTGAGTATGTTCAGTTTTTATTGGGTTCTTTGGGATGATTTCCCCTTGCATTCCCTCCCCCAGGGTTTTGTTTGCTTTTCTGCAAACACCAGCATCCCTAAGAGCTTCCCTCTTGTTTTGGCTACAGTCCTATCAGCACATAGCAACTAAATTTGCTCTTATGAGAGAAAAGAAACTTTCTGTTTCAACAAATGGAGTTACAATGTGTATTATGATTTTTAAAACACACACACAAGTGAGATCATTTTTAAACTGGATTGTTCTATGATTGTAAATTAATGTCTTTTATTAGGACTATAAGTCGATTTAGTTATCTCAGCAATACCTTAATCAATGGGGTGCTACAGTAGGAGTTGTAGTTCAATGTAAGTGATGTACTGGTGTGGGGTGGCCCAACTTTGAATATATGCTTCTCAATGCCAGCCTCTCTTAAGACACTACATATTACCTGGATCCATTTCAGTCCATCTTTTTGTCCAGGTTCAGTTCTGAAAGTACGAATTTCCCACAAGAAAAAGACATTGTTGGGAAGTAGTTCAATGAACCTGTGAGGCAGCATTTGACCTGTTTGGGATGAGGCTTCAGCTGCACTTCCACTTAGGGATCAAATTCAGACAGCAGAGGTGCCATCAGAACTGCTCCTTACTCTGAAGGCATGTGTGATGCAGTAGCTTTCACCAGTTAGGCTAATGCCGTTAATAAATAGCTTAAATAAATGAATGTCTGGGGTGTTGCAACCCTAGACCGATGCTCAAGAGACAGAGGAAGATGACCTAGTTGAATCTGGGGCTGACTACCATTGGCAGAAGAGCTAAACTATGTTCCTGGTATGGCACCTGTGGCTTCTGTGAAATAAAAGCCATGAGCCTTGCAGACACCTACCCCAAGCATACTTTATCTGACTTGTCACCTGCCTCTGTTTTCACTGTGGCTGCCCAACAGCACAAGAAGTGCACCAGGCAGGAGGCCACAGAAGAACGCCCTATTAAGCATTTGGTCCCTTACCCTTCTCGCCCTGATCTGGCCACAGTGATCCATGCGACAGTCACCTCCAGGCTTGCTTATTGTAACTCGCTCTACGCTGGGCTGCCCTTGAAGCTGCCCCAGAAACTCCAGCGGATGCACAATGCCGCAGTGAGACTCCTTATGGGGTCCTTGCTGCGTGACCACATTCATCCAGTGCTTTACCAGCAGCACTGGTTCCCGGTGGACTACTGCGTCAGGTTTAAGGTGCTGGTTTTGACCTTTAAAGCCCTATGCAGCCTAGGACCCTTGTACCTACGGGACTGCCTCTCCTGGTATGTCCCACAGAGCACCTTAAGGTCCATAAATAACAACACTTTGGAGATGCCGAGCCTCAAGGAGGTTAGACTGGTATCAGCTAGGGCCAGGGCCTTTTCAGCACTGGCCCCAACTTGGTGGAACACTCTGTCACAAGAGACTAGGGCTTTGCGGGATTTGACATCTTACTGCAGGGCTGCAAGACGGAGCTGTTCCACCTGGCCTTCGGCTTAGAATCACTCTGACCCCTTATATGGGATTTGGTATATAAATCTTCCCATGGATAGCTGGCTCGGGTGAATATCTGATGTTTCCTCCCTTTATTGTCTTGATGTATGGACTACTACTAAAATGAGGCTGCATTTTAAGCTGTATTTTAAGCTGTATTTTCAGCCGTATTTTAATTAACTGTTTTTTTGTTTTGTTTTCCCCCTTATTACGCTTTATTGTAATTTATATTTGGTGTTAGCCACCCTGAGTCTGGCCCTGGCTGGGGAGGGTGGGGTATAAATAAAAATGTATTTATTTCTTCTTCTTCTTCTTCTTCTTCTTCTTCTTCTTCTGGCCAGGAATTGGTGGGGTGGGGTGGCAACCCTATAATTCACACTCCTAAGGCAAGTTGGTAGGACTTAGGAGAGTGAAACTTTTTGGAGGGACTTGTGTGGCCTCACCCCACCTGTAGCCTTTGTTAGAGGAAGTTGTTTAGTTGGCTCTTTCCATGGTGCTGCAACCACCTGTCCAAAATTAATCTTTTGATATGTTTCCAGGCACAATTCAAGGTGCTTGCTTTGACCTTTAAAGCTCATTATGGCTGAAGAACTGCCTGTACCCATGAGAACCTGTCTACTCTAAGATCTTCATCAGAGGACCATTTCTGAGGGATGAGGCAGGTGTTGGTCAGGGCCTTCTGAGTAATGGTGTCTGGTTGTGGAATATACTTCCGAGGAACACTCAGTTGGTGCCTTCCCTGTTAACTTTTAAGTACCAGAAAAATCAACTTGACTCTATTCAGGCTTTAACAGATGACATATTTTTTTACTAATTTTTCTTTTCTTTGTACTCCTATTATTCTACTTTTACTGTTTTATTTCAATTTTATCATTTTTTATTTTAATTTGATGGTTTTAAATTGCCTTAAAAGGCAATTTATGTTTTTTATGTTCAAAATGGAATATAGATTTTATAAATGCATAAATGTTTCTCTCAGTGATAGACATAAAGGGGGGGATCTAATTGATCTATGAATTTAGATCTAGTTCTATTCAGATGGAACAGCTCATAGCACCCAGTTATGCACGAACTAAAATAAACTTGTGATAGTATTCCACTTTTACCCAATTCCTAAAAACAAAAAAAACAAAAAACACCATCCACAAGGCTTATAGTTTTCATTACAAAGCAGTCCTCTAGGTACCAACACAGAAGTAAGTCACATTGAGTTCAATGGTACTTGCACAAAAGTAATTCCCAGGATTATAACTTCAATTGTCCGACAATCCCTGATTCTTAAATTATGAATATTGTGCCTGGTTTTTTTAAAACCACAGGGAAACACATCCTTGTGCTTTGCCCTATTGTTTCCTTGGTAGGGAAAAAGCAATATACTTTCCATGTCAAAGTTTTGATTGCTTATAGCTGATGCCAGTGGAGATACTCCAAGACCTTTTCTTGTATTTCTCTCATACCAGGATTTGAGATGGAATAAGCTCCTGCCCAAGAAGGGCATCTTGCCTAATGAAATATGAATCAATTTTGCTCTAATTTACACCAGATTTCAGACTTATACTGAGATAGCTACTGTCCTAACCAATATATTTGAGGAGCTTTATAATACCATAGAAGATTAGAAACTGCTAATCCTCCCTTTTCAATTGACTTCTGTGTGGTTGGCAGAAAATGTTAGATAATGTTATATGGGCAGGTAGCCTGAGGGTCAAGACATCAGCTATGCAAAAACCAGTTTATAATGGAGGATTAAGACTTCCTAATCTTCGGTGGTACAGTGGTACCTTGGGTTACATACGCTTCAGGTTACAGACTCCGCTAACCCATAAATAGTATCTTGGGTTAAGAACTTTGCTTCAGGATGAGAACAGAAATCGCGTGGCGGCAGCACGGCGGCAGCGGGAGGCCTCATTAGCTAAAGTGGTACCTCAGGTTAAGAACAGTTTCAGGTTAAGAACGGACCACCAGAATGATTTAAGTTCTTAACCCAAGGTTCCACTGTATTATGAAGCTGCTTAGTTGTATTGGTTAGGGCAGTGGCTACCTCAGGATAAATCTGCAATCTTGTATAGACTACAGAAAAACTTTCAATAGACCAAAATCCATAAAATATACTTTTCCGGGAATATGAAGAAAATTATCATTGGCTGTAAAACAAGATTGATTCCACCAAGAGTAATATGTATAGTCACTTTTGGATCAGCTAACATACTCTGAGATGGGGAGAAATTTGATTCTGTTTGCATTTTAATGAGAAACTACCTCATTTACATTTCTCAAACCATAAACCAAAACACAACTATCCTTAAAAATCTACACTTACCCAAATTTGTGATGCAGTTCTTCAGCTAAACAATGTTTTCAAAAATGAATATATTAGAAGGAATTCCACATGGACGTATTAGTGTCAATGTGTCTATTAGGAGAAATTCACATTAAAATGCAGAATAATTTTCATAAGGAGGTTTTTTTAAAATAAAATAATAATCACAAATTAATGCAGAAATATGGCTAAATGGATTTAAGATTGGAAAAATGGCAACCAGAGAACCAGATTTGTTCATTCCTACTTATCACGAAGTATGTTCTATCTACTGTCTCAACCACTTACATTTTCTAGGGAACTCCTTGGTTGTAGAAGTGTTATCTCTTTATATTAAAGAGATCAAAACCCATGTTTCAATTTCCTGCAGTTAGCAGTTTCCTTTTCCTTAATTCCAAAGTAATAGGAGTGAGGATTCCTATTTATTCAGTGTTCTGGGATGAACCTATTCATTTCAACCTCCTTGAACTCACACATAGATATGAACATAGATATGTGGGTTAAGTTGCATAATCAACAAACTGATCTGTCCATGGAGCTGTACTTACAAGGTGGTCCAAGGACTATCTCCCTCTTTAGCATGTTAACCTCCTTAGAACAGCTAAATTCTCCTCTATGCTCAAAAGGTTAAAAAATAATAATGCTCCCATACACCTCATAATGTACAGTCCCTTCCTGGGTAATTGTATGGAGAAAATCAGGTTGCCCCCATCAATCTGTGAGGACAGCCATCTTTTTTGCACATGCAATGTCTTTGTAAGACTTCTGGGGTGGGTGAGGGGAACACTGAGGCAGCCACCGTCCCCTTTTCCTGTTTTCACTACCCCTTTAATCAAACCCCTCATAAATCGTCTTTGAGTGATTTAAACATTTCTCTGTCCCACCCCTGAACCCTATGTACTCAAAGTTTGTCTTAGAGTGTTTCCACACCACAAAACAAACAAACAAGGAGGGAAACAGAAACACCACTTCTGCAGTTTCTTCAGATGTAAAACCAGTGGACAGAATGTTCTTCAGTTTACAATTCACTTTTGTTCTCAGCTTAGAAGCAAGAAGATGGATGGAAAAAGAAAGGGTTGCAATTTTATGGAAGAGAAGGGCATAACACACTTTAAGTTGACAATGCAAAAAGCTTAGGAAAAGGAGGTGACGGTCCCAATGATCTCCAGTAACTGGCAATCAACAGAAGATACTCTGATTTCGATCCCAATCAAGAGACATTTTGGAGGCTTTGCCTCACATTTTGTGAACCACCTTTTTTAGAAAATTTCTCCTTCCAACTGTATCATTATGACCTCTACAATCAACTGAGAGCATCTATACCATCCATGTGCCACATTTGAATGGCAAAAAAGCATTTTCAGTGTTTGCTCTTCCAGCTCCTTTCCCCTGATTCACCTACCAGTCTAACCATCATCCTGAAGTGCTGTAAGATGTCTCAGGTGTTTGTTGGCTGGATTTCAGTTGGACAAAAAAAGATGAGCTTAATTTATTAGATTATTATGTTTTAATAGGTGCTTTGCAGGATGGTATGGGGAATGCAAATTCAAGTTCAGCTAGAAATGTACTTTGTAAAATACTTGCAATAAAGTTAATGACCATTATGAATTTACAGATGTTTCCTAGTATTGCATGAGCTCTTTCACACATTCCATGAATTGTGCTTTCCATTTTCACAGTTGTTTTCTATATAACTCAAAAACCCCACCCTTGCATATACTTCTGGGAAGAAGCACAAATGATCCTAATACTGGGTTAGGAGACATGGGTACAAGCTTCTTTTTCAAGCATTATGGCGGCAGCATGAAAACAGAAGCAATAACTCAAAATTATCACACTGCACTGCAGCTAACATGTAATGGCCAAATTCCACTGAAACTAATAAAACAGGTTACTCATAACCAGTGCTTTTTTCTAAAGATAAATATTTAGGGGTACTCTCATTTTGACTCAAGAAAACCACCATTTTATAGTTCAAATCGGGGAAAATAAATACAGTAAATGGACAAAAGTACAAAAATTCACAAAATGTTTAGCGGTATGTGTACCCCTGCGTACCCCCAGAAAAAAGCACTGCTCATAACTCAATTAAGTCTCATTGCTTTCAGTAGAACTTTATCACAACAAACTTCTGCATAGTTTGGGCCAATATATTTTACTGAATATTGTTCTTAACTGAGTTATCTCCAACTTTAGCAGCACACCAGATTTATGTTCCCCCTTACACACACACACACACACACACACACACACACACTTTCTTCCACATTCCAGCAAGTCCTCATTAATTTCTCTCATTCCATGGCATTTAGTTTTGGAAAGAACTAACTTGTTACAAGGGGGTAGCTGTTGACTGAATATTAGGCGACCCATTTGACATGGAACCAATTTCCTTGAAGGACGGTGGTCAGTTCCATGTTGGAGGTATTCAGGCAGAGGCTAGACAGCCATCTGTGCTCTAGTCTGAATTATTTGAATCAAGCAGGGGAATTGGGCTCGATGCCGACAAGGTTACTTCCAACACCCCATGGTTCTGTCTCTTTTATTATGTTAACTGCTAGGTACATCCGTTGTTTCATATTTACACAAAGGATGGTCCATACTTGCATATGCTTCAGGTAGAGATAGAAGCACTACCAATAAAGAAGATTAGGTATACACACATTTCTTGGTAGCAATTTATCCCCGTCTTTAATAATTATTTACTTATAAGTCCTTGAACATATGCCGTCTAAAATTTGACAGCTACAAAGATTGTAATTAAATATCCCTGCTATTTACGTAAATTGCTAATTCATCTTTTAAGCTTGGTAAGGACCAGTATGGGTCATAACTGACTCAAAAGGAATTGCTTGAACTAAGCTGCAAGCAAAAGTAAGTGGCAGGAATACTGATTTCGGTAATTCTGTAAAGAAGCCAGTATCTACCATAGGCACAACTAATGTATCAACTAGTGCTTGTGTGTATGAAATGGATTAGACATATTTTCACAGAAACAACTACCTAAGGAAGAAGCAGCAGCAAATTAGAGAATCGCTCATGCCTTAACTGAATTGCTATTAAAGGAATTTGCTCACATTCCTGTCCTTGAAATTAAGTCCTATACCACAGGGTTATGGATTTGGATAAGATCTACAGGGTAGTTATTTCTTATATATTATATTACCAGTGGGTGAAATAGGGGTGCCAGTATTCTCACATTTATTGCTTATTTCATCAGTGGGGGAACTCCAGCCTATGGACCTAATTTGGCTCACCAATTCCCTCCAAAATGGCCACAAGTCCATTTCTAGCAAGCTCCACCCAATCTCCAACCATGTGACATCATTTGATGTCACCTGTTAATCATTTCAACCTGCCCTATAATTCTCTGCAGTTTTCCTAGTGTTAGACCAGGCATAGCCAAACTCGGCCCTCCAGATGTTTTGGGACTACAACTCCCACCATCCCTGACCACTGGTCCTGTTAGCTAGGGATGATGGGAGTTGTAGTCCCAAATCATTTGGAGCGCCAAGTTTGCCTATGCCTGTGTTAGACTAAAAAAATCTGTATAGTTCACACAATTCTAATGGGATATTGATATAAGCAAACAAACAAACAAACAAATATAATTTATACCCTGCCCATCTGGCTGGGTTTCCCCAGCCACTCTGGGCGGCTCCCAACCAAATATTAATAATAATGAAAAGCGCTAAAGCATCAAACATAAAAAACTTCCCTAAACAGGGCTGCCTTCAGATGTCTTCTAAAAGTCAGATAGTTGTTTATTTCCTTGACATCTGATGGGAGGGCGTTCCACAGGGTGGGTGCCACTACCAAGAAGGCCCTCTGCCTGGTTCCTGTAGCTTCACTTCATGCTTTGAGGGAACCACCAGAAGGCCCTCAGTGCTAGATCTCTGTGTCAGGGCTGAATGATGGGGGTGGAGACGCTCCTTCAGGTATACTGGGCCAAGGCCATTTAGGTATGAACGTAACATACATAAAATGCACGGAAAATACATCAAATTAAGAAAGATCACACACTTGTTGTGCACCATGACAATGGAGCCCCTGGAAGGTTGGCCTGTAGGTCAAAACTTAATCTCCACCCCAGGTTTATTTGGTATGTTCATTCTTCTACCGCAGTTAAAGCTCCTTTAAAACTAACACTTGAAATGTCAAAACCACAATAAAATGGCTAAAATAAAATATATCCTTAAAATCTATCAAAAAGTAAGCAACACAAGTTCTAATTCCAGGCTCACTCCTAGCCCATATTAAAGAAAGCTGTTATTTGCTGCCCAAAGTTGGTCAGTAAGACTGAGATGTTATTCTTTGAAACAAGTTGTCCAAGGTGGGTGCCACCACTAAGTCGTGCTTCTCCTCACCTTCACAAATTTAATGGTGGAATACAGCACAGCGTCTCCCCTACAGATCTTAAAGTGCAAAGGAGCAATATGGAATAAAGCACTCCCTTGAAGAAACTGGGCTCAGAAACCTATGGCAGCCAATTTAGCCGAATTAAAGATGTAGGTATGTTATATGAGCAACCTGCCTGGAGATGGGAACAAGATGAAGAATACTGCATCACTGCAATATAATCTTCAGTAGTACCCCCACATATAGTGCATTCAGATAATATTTTAGAGTATATAGGATGGTGGACAGACCTGCCTCAGAGAAGAAAGATTGTAGAATGGACAGAGACTTAAAAAAGGGAAGAGGCTGATAATGTTAACTAACTGTTATCAGTCCATGACACAACATGAATGGGAGAAAAGAAGACATAATACAGGCAATTATCACCAGCACATGGGTCCTTTTGGACCCAGAAGAAGTTGGAACGGGGGTAAACGGGGTGGGGCATAACGGGGTGGGGTGCACTTATACACTGCTGACATGAATGGGGGCTGGGAACAGAAGCCCTGCACAAAATGGTTGCTGCCTGCATTAAAATGGTGGCCTTGGTGTCTGACTTACAGTTGGGAAAGCAGGCATGCACGAAAGCATGACTCACCCCTCAGTGCCAAATATAGGTATATTTTATTATATTTAACACAGAAATGCAGTATTTTATTTTAAGTTGAAAACTTTTTCCATGACTGGAAGATGATATACAATCAATAGCCTCTGCCCCGATTTTTTTTGGGGGGGAGGGGGGAGAACTTATCTTTAATGTTAGTGATTTCACAGGTGCCAATCCAAACTTTCCTCCATTCGTGAAAAAGTACTTTGAAAAGCTTTAATCCCCTCCCCTTCCTTTTCTTTCAGAGCTTACTGCAGGAGAAAGAAATGGTACATTAGGATTGAATACTGTGAGGGGAATTTCAACCTGCATAGCTAAAAAAAAAAAAAGTTATACCCGTTGTCTTGACAGAAAGAAACAAAGGAAAAAACCTCACCTGAAACTGAGAAAACTAATACTGCTATAGATCTATAAAACATTTATATGGGGTTGGGGAGGGGAGCTTGTATTGTTAAAGGACTTTGAATGCCTGGACAGCTACAGTTATGATGAATCCATCCTATTTTTGGAGGTAAGTGAAAATCCAGTGGAACGCTGACCTTTACAGATGCGGGACCTGCAGGAGGGAGAGACATGAAAGACTCCACAATCATTTTATTTTGCTGTAACATCACGGTGGCAAGCAAACCAAGACAAAAGCAAGAGTGATTAGATAGACAGCAACCCCCAGATACTTTCATAGCACAGGAAATTGCCAAAGGAGTACAAAAGGCAAAACCTAATGCTTGGATGCATTCCCTAGAGTTTCCCAGCTGCCTCTGAACCAGGAACACGACACTACTGTGCTTGTGTGTGTAAAATATTTTGTTACAGAGCTTCTGTGACAGCGCAGTTCATCGGCTGAACAATTCCACCAATAAATAATGAAGATCTTGCAAAGTTTTGTTCCCAATTTGCGACTTTAAAGCCTGTGCTGCAGTGGTTAGCTGATGTCGCTTTTGTAGAAAAAGCCAAGAATGCAGGAGGTGGGCAGACAAAGTGGTATGTAGATGTGCTCATTCATGTTGATGCAACTGACATTTAAGCCCATTTCTCCACCAACACCTCCTTGCATTTATAGACATAAAAGTTCCCTCTCTGTTCCTTTCTTTTTCCACTTGTTTGCAATGCTCCATCCCCATTTTGTTTCCTGCAACAACTGGCTGGAAGGCAGGAACCCCCTCCCCCCATTCCACATTTTAGTGTTGGGTAGGTGCAGTTAGTGGTGGGTGATGTATATAACTAGGTCAATAGGTTTTGGTCACATAGTATGTGTGTGTGGTAAAGGGAAGAGATGGTGAGTCCCCGAGGCACTGTCAGGTGGGACTTTCATGCAGTGCTTTGTGACTTATGAGATAGGGCATGGATCACTTTGGAGATTTAACCTGTGTCACTCACTTGGAGTTGTGCAGCCTTGAAGCAGCATTAATCAGGAAAACCTACTTCCACACCTGAATGGGTGTGGCAGGGAGAAAGGGGTAGATATAAAGCCTGATAGCATTTGAAATATTTCATGCTTTGTGCATATTGTATATTTTTTTAAAAAAGAAGCTACCCTTCTTGGGATCCATGAGGTATATTCCTTCTTTCTTTTGTCAGTGTTTGCCTTACACACATATCTAATGGATCTAGGGTTTCCCGAGGTCTCTAATACACCATGGCCACTATGGCTCATCCCAACTCCTATTGCCATCTGTCATTTTCTCCTCAGAATAGCTTCTCAAACACTGACAATTTACATGCTTGCCAGTACTTTAAATAATAACTTGAATTAGTCTCCAATTAGCCCTGATTCACTTCTTCCCTGATTCATCTCTCTTATCAACAGAGAGTAATCAGAAGAGCTATACTGTCATTCTTTGACTCTCAATTTAATTAACAGCAGTTCATCATAAAGATTCCTAAGCAATTTGAGCCACTGTAATTTGATCCATACGTTCACAGCTCACTGCCCTTTTTGCCCTTTTTGCAACAACCAACTGGCCGAGTCTATGGCCTTAAAGTTCTGCTTCATATTACACCATAGATGTTAAACATTCTCCACATATTCTGTGCTCCTGAATGTGTTCTACAATACAACAAGGCATCCAGTTATAATGACTTTGGAATCAGTAGTAAAGAAAGAAAGGGAGTCTAATGTAGGATCTCTGAGGCTTTCCACAAATCACTTTCTTTTTCCTGTTTCAGGCATCTGCCACTCATTCATCATTTATGTGACGTGCTTAAATCAAGTGTCAAAACTTTTTTTTTACTGGAAGGCCTTCCTACTGTATTTCCAGAGAAAAGGAGTAAATTGTGATACAGGATCGACTTACCTCATTGGGGCTGCAGAATATTCCCCTGTACTTGGTCCTAAATCTCTGCCCATGCTTTAGAGGGCTCAGTAGTATTTAGGGAGGAAATATTTGGTGAGAGATCTATCAAGCTTGGCAGATAATTTAGAGTGTAATTCTCATTTTCCAAGAACTGACATTTCCTCAAGGAAATCTGATCACATGGTTGTACTTATCTATGAAATTAAAAGATGATTTCAAAGTGCATTTTATAAAACTCACCCCACATTTCACAATATACATCCAAATGCAACCCAGATTCTGTGAAAGATGCATCACGAACAATGTGGGCCAAGTTCAAATGAGAAGTTCAAATGAGGATTAAAATGTGTCTTAAGCATGTTACAAGACTGCTTCACATGTGAGACAAAAAGCAAAGCTAAACTAAATCTCACATTGGAGCAGTCATACAAAGTTTTAATTCAAATTAAGATATGGCAGTATTGAGTGTATGGAAGCTGCCTTATACAGAATCAGATTATTTGTCCATTTATAATAGTATACAGTGATTGGCAGCAGCTCTTTGGCTTTTCTCAACCTGGTAACCTCAAGATGTTTTAGACTCCAACTTCCATCAGCCCTACCCAGCATGGTCAATAGTCAAGGATGATGGGAGTTGTAGTCCAGCAAAATATAGCACTTAAGAGGTTGTGGAAAGCTGCTCTACGGTTTCAGACAAAAGACTTACCCGGGCCTATCTGGAGATGCTGAGGAATCAACCCGGGGCCTGCTAACATGCAAGGCAGGTGCTTCACCAATGAACTATGACCCTTCCCTATTCTCAAATAAAGTATCCAGTATATATGAAATAAATATCCAGTAAATATGAAATAGATAAGCCCAAATAGGTTTCAAAAGATTGTGAAAATTAGTACCACCATGCCTATACAATCTGTATAAACAACCATCACCACCCATTATGCATTTCTTCCATGGCTAATGGTTCTTTTCATGCAAGACCAAACACCCGTTTTTCAGTTTTTCAAGGGACACAACCAGCATTGTTGCAGTTCACCTGGATGATAATAGGTCAGGGCACAGTGGCAATGAGATCAGGGCTGGACAGGGGCAGTAGCTATTGCTGCTATCCTGCCCTACCCCTGCACCATTTAATGTAAGCTGCAGTGATACCAGTGTTGGGAGAGTGATTACTCAGCACCTCTCCATACCACACCAGTCACTTCTGGACATGTGGTGCTGCAGTGGGTAGATGTATCAGTGAAATTCTGTTTTCTTGCCTTGTGGAAATGGAAGTGTTTCCCTCCTGAGTATGACTACCACTGGATAAAACTCCATTTCTTCACCTGCATTCATAACATTTAACAGTGGCTGCTATTGTGGGATTTGAGTAACTTTAGATTAAAGCCAGGCAGGTAACAGCTTCCAAATTATTACTCAGCTTCCCCCCGAGATTTCCCTCATAGAAGTGGACCTCGTACTCCTGAGATAACACAACTTTCAGATCACTTAAGAAATCTCTTCCCTCACCAGACAGAATGAAGGCATTCTTTAGTCTTCAGATATACTTAGGTGAGGGAGGGAAATCCTCACTTACAGAGTCTCAGCATTCAGCAAATCCATTCAACTGTCACTTCAACTGTCAACCAACTTCAAAATTACAAGGTCCTTCCCCCTGAATAGAACTTTATGCTAATTAGCCTGCAAGCTTCTTGCACAGACTTAACACATGCAAAACTTTCTTCAGAGTTGTCCCTTCTGCTGAATGGAATACAATATCATTCCTCACAGGTGAAAGAGCTGTGTATATGACAGAGGAATGCTCTCACCCCTCCATGAAGCACACCTCTGTTTTCTACACAACAATTTCACCTGCATCTCACCTCAGCCAACTCCTCACAGGGTATGGATCCAATTATTTCCTCTTTCTTATTATAGGGCAGCATAGCAGCTTGTTTCCTAGGAAGCAGAACTCAGTAAAATGATGCAAAAGCAAACTGTCCTTAGAATATAGATAAAAGGTATTATTCTCAAAGGGAGTGTAGATAACAAGTGCTGTTCTCTGACTGTGGAACTACCTTGTGTTTGTAGGAAAAGAACAAACCTGCCAGCATTGTAGTTGTGATCTGTCTGTCTGCGATGGGGGCAAGGATCCTGTAGCTCTCCACAGGTTGAATGATCCTGGGCCACTAGTCATACTTGTTGGGGTGATGGAATCCAGCAACATCTGGAGGACCTCAGGTACCTCATTCCTGGCTTACCATTTTCTTCCACCCAATTCTCATATGGAAGACAGTATATGAATATTTATACAAAAACATTTGTATGTTTATAAACATCTTAGAGGGTGTCTCCCCCCAAAACAGCATATAATTTTTGTCAAATAAAAATAAATAAATAATATCCTGAATTATAATGGGGTTAACATGACCCCCTCCACCTCATGTTCCTCCATATGAAGAAAGATAGTCATGTCTACCATGTGGAAGTATATACTGCAAGGAAGGTGCTCTTTGCAGCCTACCTTGTATCCTCAAGCAGCTGGCCAGCAAAGCTCTTTCAAGTGGTCTAGAGGTTGCTGACCTTTTGGGGGAACGACCCAGAGAGCCCTCAGTGACCTGCTGTGACAAACAGGCTTCAGATTTCAAGGCTAAAGTTGTTCAACATGGGGGAAACTAACTGCACAGCCAGTACCATTCCAATCAAAGTGCTCAATGCCACAGCTTGGGACGTGTTGTTGGATCACTTTCAGTTCATTCAGCCCAGTTGCTTGCATCTCTATACTTGATTATGTACCCCTTGATCACCCTTATTAAAGCTAACAGAAGGGTTCACTGGTTGAGTTGGGAGCATGGTAGAGCCACTCCTAAAAAGCCAGTTCTGGACCCAGTGATTTTGACCAGCCACAAAAAGCTCCTTTATAAGGAAGATGTTGGAGTGGGTTGTGGCAGCACATTATAGGCATTCATGGATGATATGGATTATATAGATCCATGCCACTTTCTGATCTAAAATTGTGTAAGTATAATGACAGGTGCATTACCAGTGTCATACTGGTTGATATATTAGGTTAGAATTTCCTCAAATTTATGTAAATTGAAATTTGTTATCAGTAGCTGGTTGGGCTGATTATTCATCCAAAGCAAAAATATAAATGTAAAATACACAAACATTTTGATTCTTTTCCAGAGAAAGTGAATTGGAGCGAATTAGGACTGAATGCTTAATTAAATTCAAGTGGTCATATAAGAGATACAATAATCTCCATTTTAAATGCTGATTATTATTATTTTAACTAGAGGATAAGCTACGAAAATGATGGCAGGCATTTTTAGTTAATATGCAACATATAGTCTAAGAAATCACTTGCATAAACACAGCTGAAAGGCACAATACAATCTTCTCACTTTTTGATACGGAAAGCACCTTGCAGGTACAGGTTGATCTTCATAAACATATTCACATTGTACGTGTCAGGGGCAGCAGCTCCTGGGGGCTGAGCACTTTTGGACTTCCTCAATATTTTTGAACCAAAAGCATGGAGGCAAAGGATGGAGCTGAGTGTGGTGTAGCTCCAGTAGTTGGCTCCTTCTCTTCCTCCTGCCATGGAGGGGAAGGATGGTCAAAGCAGTGGTGGAACCAGCAGGAGGAGGAGCCGCCACCGGCCACTGAAGTTGCACATCTGTCACATTCAGCTGCACCTCCAGCTCCTGCCATTGCCCTCCCATCACCCTTGCAAGTTGGCACCTCTGGTATGTGTTATTCTAAAATGAAAACTCAAGAAGCTCTTAGGTTTGGGAGTCCTTTGTAGCTAGTGTAAAGAGGTTGTTAAGTATAAATAAAATAGTTCTTGTAGAGTGGTAACGCAAGCCAGGTTCCATAATATTTTGTAAAGGGCTCTGGATCAAGACCGTCCAGCAAGATCAGAGCCAATGTTTCACATTTTATTTCCAAGAGTGATAGGCTAAGATGCTTTTGAAGGCTTGTAAACAAGGGATTAACATTCCTATAGTTTATATTCAGCTTCTGGTAATTGACAGTATACTGCATCTGAATATGGAAGCTCTTATCATTAATTTGGCTAACCCAGTAGTGGGTGGCCCAGTGGGGCTGTGCCACTTACCTGGCCCTCCTCCAGCTAAGGCAGCAGCAAGGTTGTTGCAAGCACAGCAGTGGAGCCAATCTAGTGCTTCTGAAGATATGTTTGCACCATGCAGACTTCACTGCTGCTTTGACCTGGCTCCTCCCCATCACAGGACACAACAGTGACAGGTAAGCAGTGCTGCCCCATCATGTCATCTGGTGCTGGGTCTGACAAATTAATGATAAGATCCCCACCACCTCCTCTGCTACTGGTCTAACCCTCTTCTAATGCCACCAGTGCCATTTGTCACCAACACATCATATGATAGTATATTCCATAGGTCAGTTAGAAAGCATATGTGAAAAGTGATGCTTGACCGACAGGCAGGAGCAGAGAAAAGAATGGCTAGGGCCCATAAAATGTTTTCATTCTATTCTCCTATGCCAGAAAGTGGGGAACATACCTGGAGAATTTCCCTTGCCAATACAAAGGCATTGATATCCCATCAGAACCCCCTGCTTCTACATTTACTATAAACAGGCACGCCAACAATCTGAGACATATCAGCATTATCTAGAATGAGAATACTTAGAATCATCTTTGCATCCTGAGGCCTGGTTGGCTAAGTAAAGTCCAGGGTGAAACTGCAGACAGGAAAATGAATACAGTGGTACCTCGGGTTACAGATGCTTCAGGTTACAGATGCTTCAGGTTACAGACTCCACTAACCCAGAAATAGTACCTTGGGTTAAGAACTTTGCTTCAGGATGAGAACAGAAATTGCGGTAGCTAAAGTGGTACCTCAGGTTAAGAACAGTTTCAGGTTAAGAACAGACCTCCAGAATGAATTAAGTTCTTAACCCAAGTTACCACTGTTTCCCTCTCTATGTTTCTCCATAAATCTTTGTGCCACACAACACCTGCCGAAGGCACTTTGCTGCCTGAGGTGGAGGACAAGTTTCTCTCCTCTCCCATTCCACAGACAAAAGCCGACCAGACTGGTGGCAGTTGAATATTACTCTAAGGCAGGCTGTGTGGAACACAGTTGTTTTTCTCAAATACCTTTCTGCTCCTCATTGTCACCAGGTATTTGCTGCCAGAGTTGGCTGCCTCATTCTGCAGAATGGTGACCCCACATTATGCAGTGAAGGACTTTGTAAAGATTGTAACAAGTTCCTGTGAGAGAGCCACATAACCTCTGAAAACTGTTCCTTCAATGCCTTCAATGCATATGCCCACTTAGAAAATAGTAATTCTAGCCATTATAGCTATGCTCTGCTTCCACAGTTGGAGGCAGTAATGCATCTGACTACCAGCTGCTGAAAACCACAGAAAGGGAAAGGGCTCCCTTGCTAAGATCCTGCATGCAGGTTTCCCATAGGCTTCTGGCTGGCCTCTGTGGGAACAAAAAGCTTGACTAGATGAGCTGTTGGCCTAACCCAAAAGGCTCTCTCATGTTGAAAAAGAAATTCCTTAAAGGGATTCAGTATGCTGATACTCTGCATATCATAAAACTCTCTTGTGCCACTCTATCCAATAGCATAACATCGCATGATAGAAGTCATCCATTGACTTCCCAGTTGCCATGTACATTCCTGACTGGTACAGGAATCTTCTGGGGCCTTTTCTGGGAGTTGCTTAAGTAAAGATTTTCAGCCCATTTTTTAAAAGCGCTTTAAAAAAATATGACAATACAGCAACAGTTTTCACCCCCCTCCTACCCAACTTGCTGGAGCCCATTATCTTTCTTGGTATTTTAACAACTTTATAGCTCCTGCAGTGAAGTGAATGAACAAAGGGAAACCAAACAGGTGCAGTGGTCTGAACTAATCTAGCAATGTGATGAAATGAGCAAGTAACACATAGCAGCACCGCAGTTGGCAGTTTCCAACCTGTTGCCCTAGTGATTTAGGAGCAACTTGCTATATCTTTAGAGTTGTGACTGTCAGTTCCTTAGTTGCCAGTTACACTGATCAGGAATTTTGCAACACATCAGCACAATTTAGCTTCAGGTCACTGGACATCTTTGAATGTTGTTTCAGACCAAAAATCTTGAGCTTGAAAGATTTCAGTTTGGTATTGAGCAGCATTCCTGCTCCTCAACTCTCCCCTCCCCCCAATATATTAGCTTTCTAAAAAATCAACGGTGTTAAGTTTTACAGTTCAGTATGTATAATTCAAGCAGAAAACACAACTTTCATAGTCACAGACCAAATAACACCTCAAAGGGACATTTGTGTTGTTGACATATATTTTATAAAATGTGAAAATTTGTGGAGATCTGTAGATAATAGTGGCTAAAAACTAAAGGAGCTGACATGCTTTTTTCAGCTGCTGCTAGTATTGTATTTAACATGAGAATATAAGAGGAGCCTGCTGGGTCAGGCCAATGGACCATCTAGTCCAGCATCCTATTCTCACAGTGGCCAGCCACATACCTGTGGAAAACTTGCACTGAAGCACAATACCACTCTCTCCCCTCCTGTGGCCTCCAGCAACTGCTCCCAATGAATACAAATCGCTGTGTTGAATAAAAAAACAGAACAACTAATATTATGCCATTTTATAAACTAGTTTCGAAATCATTCTGGGTTTCAAAATCAGTTTGCTGTGCAGTATTGGGAGGTGATACTCGAGTGGGGACAAAATCTAAAGCTCCCATGGGCTCTTGAAAATAGTTTCATGATTCTGGGATCTCACCCATAAAGCCACCTTGGTCATATTTGCTAGGCTCCTGTAAGAGGCAACTGGTATGTATATGGTGCCATGCTCTAATTCCACAGCCATTCAACTTTCTAAGTCACTGTTTCACATTTGATTCCTGCTGATATATTTAAGGTTTCTAGGGGAAAACCTATTAGACTGACAAGCTTGAAGTCTGTCCGGTCCTGCTTTACAGAATACAGTTCTCTTGCAATGGGAGAAGACTAAGCTGTATGCATGCAGATGCAGAGTTAGGATATACAGGAAACTCTCAGACTATGTTCTTTGCCCATTTTGCAGCTTGCAAACAAACCACGACTGTTCATTCTGACCAAGGTCTTTTTTATCATGTGCTTCTCCCCACCCCCTTAGAAGATTTCAGTGTGCTGAGCCAGGATGCATTGGTTGCTATGGGGCTCAATGAAATCCCTGGGATTTTTCAGTCAGCTTTGCATGAAGCCCTCAGGCTG